CAGCCTCAGTCAGGGTTTCTTCCTGTGGTAGCCCCGCAGTTTCAGGGTATTATATTCATATATTCAAGTGCAGTGGAAAGAAACCTCTCCCTGAAGATTGCTGATGAGGGCCCTAGACTAATTCTCCCTGGCTTAACTTTGGTTCCATGGCCATGGCATAGCATAATCAGACTGGCTTGTGCTTAAGTCATGTGTCCGCTCTCGGAGCTAGGCATGGAGTCAGCTCCACCTGAACACATGGGCTGGTTTGGCATGGGTCCCATGGCTGATAAAGAAGTCAGGGGTTGAATCCAGGACTAGCTGATTGCAGAGTATTTGTTCCTAGCCATTCTCTATCCTTGTTCAGTGTTAAAAAACAAAAGCATGCCCATTGCATAATATTTGGAAAGTGAACATAAGTGTCTCAAAGCTGATTTAAAATGACTCAGCAATAGCCACCATGGGCCTTTTGGGTTATTTCCCTTCAGCCATTTAAAAACATATCTTTCTTCCAACCTACTTTATTCTATATGATAGTTTTCTGTTACCTTAAATTTTCTCTGGTTCTCTTTTAAGGCCCAGCTTAAGTCTTCAAATTCCCTTGTGTTGAAATGCAATTCCACATGCAAAAAAGCTCTGTAGACTGTAAATACCTGTGCAGCTATTAACTGTTCTTTCCATTATAGAACTCACTTTAATTTTTCATATTCCTTACTGTTTCTTCAGGAGTTGCCCTCTAGTTTATGGGTCTGAAGGTGTCTGGGGAATTGGCTCTTTCTCCTCCAGAGTCACATAGTCTAGAGGACATCAGAATCCCCAAGATGCTAGTCAAAAATGTGTGTGTCCAGACGCCTATATATTCTGAGGCAGAGTAGGTAGAGAAGGGCTCCAGGGATATTTTTAAATTCATTTTTTAATAAAATTTACCATTCATACAGAATTGTGCATGGAATTGTATATGTGTTCAGCTTGGTGAATTTTTACAAGGTGAATATATCCATCTATGCTGCTTCCTGTGATTGTAATTCATTTATTCCCACTGCTCTATTGTATTTAATTGCATATAGTGCTATTTACTATCCAGTCCAGTGTAGGTGGACATTTGGGTGGTTTCCAGGCTTTGGCCGTTACATATACTGCTGCTCTGAATATTTTAGCAGATATTTTCTGGTGAACATATGTATGTATTCTTTTTTATTTATCTAGGAATGGAATTGCTGAATCTTAGTATATGTGTATGTTCACCTTGAATTGATACTAAGAGTTTTCCAGAGTAAGAATTTCCAAACCATATTCTCATAATTTCTGTGTATGGGAGTTCTAGTTACGGTGTATCCTTGTAAACATGTGGCTTTATCTGTCTCTCTCAGTCTCTGTGTGGTGTGCCACTGCAACTTTAATTTTCATTTCTGATAAGCTTGTGAAATTTTTCATAAATTTATTGGACACTTGAATGTTGTCTTTGATGAAAAGCCTACCCCAGCCTTTTGCCGACTTTTCTAGGAGGTTGCCCACCTCTTTCTTAAAGATTTTTAGCAATCTTTATACAACTGGACTCAAATTCTTGCATGAATATCCATATTCTTTTTCTTCTACTTTGTCACCTTTCACTCTCCTAAATGCATCTGTTGATTAACAAAAGTTCCTTATTTTAATGTATTCCAATTTATCCAGTATTTCTTTTGTGGGTAGTGGTCTTTCCATTCTGTTTAGGAAATAACTGGCTACTTCAAGTCACACAGATATTCTTCTATATTTTTCTACAAGATTTTTTTCTTGTACAGGCAACTTTTTGAAAACAAACATCTAAGTGATTCTGATGCAGACAGTCTATAAATCACATTCTGTGAAACTGAAATTTTCTGGTCTAAACCTCACACATCCTTTATGAGCCGCATGCCCCGGCCTGTCCCCACACCAGGTCTGCCCTCCTGGACTTCCTTCTCCAAGATGGCCTGTCCTCATGGGCCCTCACCAGCCTCAGGCCATTGTCTCTCCTGCAGTCTTACAGTGTGGACACACTCTCGAAGCTTGCTGGAGCCAGGTGTCACTGAGTGGCCGACAGGCAGTGTGGGGACTGTGGTGGCCAAAGAACAAATGCTCCATGGAGGGGCCGCAGCCACCCAGCCCCAGCTGACCGCTGCCACACGAGGGCCCCGGGCTACAGATCTTCTAGTTTCCAGAGCCAAGCCAAGCATTGGGTTGTGTAAAGTGCTCTGATTTCTCAGTGATGCCAAGCAACTCAAACTGAAAATTCACTGTGTGGGGAAAGACAGAAAGAAAAGGGGAAGGAAGGGAGGGAGGGAGAGAGGATCTTGTGGATTTGCTGTGGCTTATAGGTGGGCAGGCTGCCACTGCAGGCACCATCTTGGGACCAGCAGCAGTGCCACCTGGGTGAACATTAAAAATGCAGAGCCTCAGGCTCTCAACTACTGAGGCAGAATCTGTACTTTACCGATATCCCCAAGGGATTCATATGCACCCTGAAGATTGAGAAGCACCAATACAGACATGTGGTTCTCAACACTGGCTCAAATTAGAATCGTTTGCGGAACTGAAAAAAAACATTCCTGTGTCTGGGCGGCACTACAAACCACATGAATCAGCATTTTCAGAGATGGAGTCTAGCTAGGCACTGGCATTTGTAAAAAGCAGCCTGGGTGACTCAAATAGGCAGCCAGGGCTGAGAAGTATTAACTTAGAGCAGTCCCTCATTTATGAGTGGAGAAAGTGAAATCTCAAAAAGTGGACACATGAAATGTCTTGTCCAAGATCACGTAACTAATGTATGGGAGAATCTGATCTGTGTTTAACCTTGAATCTCATGATTCCCAACTCAGTGCCTTTTTGCTACAGTTACTTTGAGTTCCTGGGGGCAGAACTTCAAAATGACCCAGTTTAGGTTCAGGGATAGCTCATTACTGCCAGCTTTCCAGCTGAACTGCTTAGCTTTCTGCACTGAACCCCTAACAGGCTTGACTGATGAAGAGCGGTGAGCTGATGGACCCCGCCTTCTGCCTCTTCAAGCCAAATCCATCTCATTCTCCCTATCTGTCACCCAAAAGAGTGCTACCTGCTTCCACTGTAAAGAAATAGAAGGTCCTCTGCTTGGGTCTCAATCTTGCTGCACAGGCCCAGGATGGAGGCAAAGATTCTGGCAGCTAGATGAGGATTTGGGTTCAGCCTTAATCAGCAGTGAGTGGATGGGGTGTGATGACCCTGTCCCTTACCACTCTCAGGCTGTGTCAACAGAAGCACAAGTCGGAATGCAGAATCAGTACACCGGCTTGGCTCTCACCAGCATGATTTCACCATCAAAGAAACTGGGAGAATTAGATGAGTGACTCACCAATACTGGCTGAGCCAAGATTCCTAGCCTCTCTTTCTAGGACCAGGTAATGCTCATAATGCGGTAAAGTCTTTGAGCAGTTTCATGGTAAAAAAGACAGAGTACGAGACAAGTGCTGGGCATAGAAGCCACAGGGCATAAATCTGCAAAGAAGTAAAAAGCTAACCTTTTCAAACAATATGGCCTCTCTCTCACTTACCAACTTTACATCTCCCTGTATGGCCCCGGAAGATGACTGGTTAGCCAGAGACGGGTAAGATTCCTCAAGGGAGGAACAACCTAAGACAGGCACAGTCGCAGGGGGACCATCAGGTGAGAAATTGGGGATCAACAGTGGTGAGGCTTAGAACCTCACCCCCCCCGTTTTGAGAGAAATCTTCTGCATCCGTGGATGTTTTATTGCCCTTGTCTAGCTCGGATTAGCACATAGTCTACAGGCACACACCTGATCATCTACAATTGCTCTCTTACAACACTAAACTATGTTTTCTACCTTTATCTTGCATCTACCTACCACTTCAGCATTTTATTAAAAATAAAAATAATAATAATAATAATAAAGGGAGAAATGTGGGATCCACATATAAATCAAGTATAAAAATCAAACGAATATTCATATTTGACCTGATTGTTTATAATTCATAATGCGTGATCAAAACCGAAAGTTTCTGTGACGACTGCCCTTGTACTGTTCACCATGTAAGAACTTATTCACTATGTAAGAATTCATTCACCATGTAAGAACTTGTTCGTTATGCTTCAGAAGATTGGAGACTGACAAGAATTAGGCTTGAGATGGATTAATGACTGTGCATTGAGCATTGACTCCCCTATACAGAATTTTATTGTTGTTAACAACCATTTGATCAATAAATATGAGAGATGCCCTCTCAAAAAACAAACAAACAAAAAAAAAGACAGAGTAACCTTGAGTTCTCTTATATTTTGGGAATACCACAAAGGAGGCAGACATTCCTTCACAATATTTGTGAAATTCCCTTCTATTCCGTTATATCCACCACCTCACACTTAATAGCTGCCCTTCCTTCTCTTTTCAACTCTCAGCCATCATAAGAACCTCCCTCACCCTAGCCTGTGCCATGAGCATCTTTCTTCTCTGTTTCACTCCAATTCTACAGCTGCAAAGACAGGAACTGCATAGAGATCTGGGGAGGACAGAAGTCCCATATAGGACTCTAGTGGGGAGACAGAGGGTAGTTTAGGGACAATCACACACTTCAGGGCACTGATAACCATGCCCCGGCTACCCCCCTAGTGATGCCAGTCTCCCTTGCTCTGCTCCAGCACGGCCGCCCTCACCCATCGGCCTTAAACCTTGCTGCAGTCAGATGTAATGACCTTGTAAGCTGAACATATAGCTGAGTACCTTCAAGGTACTTAGCCACGGGACTCAGTCTGACCTGGAGTAGGAACCTGTATTTTTTAAAAATAAAATGGGGGCACCCAGGCTGCTCTAGGATTGAGATACCATGTATGGCAGTTCTTTGATAACAGTTGAGTACCAAACAATGATAAGATAATATTGATAACAATTAGAATCCTCCATGTCACCAGCCCTGAAAAAAAACATATCACTTGCCAGAAACTTGTAGTGTACACTTACCACTTGCTTACACTCTTACAAATGAATCTTTCATTTGATCTCCTCCAGGTAAAGAAACTCCTTCCAAGGATCTGACCATATCAAGTGAATTTATATCCTCATCTGAAGATAAGGAAAAATGTTTCGTGCCACAGAACATGACCCCAGGTATCTAAAGCTCAAAGGCAAACCCTGTTTTTTAAAAAAGATATTTTCCATGTAGGATATTGTATTACTCCTTTATCTCTCTTATCTGCAGGCTCCGTCCCTCTAATTCTTTCTAGGCATCACCACCAAATGCATTTTTGTGGGTATGACCTTGACTGTGATATTGATTTGTTCATAAATCTTCCAGTGCTTTCTGTTGCCAGCAAGATTAAGTTAAACCTTCTCAGGCTGACACTCAAAGCTTTTCACAATCTGGCACATATTGGGAGTGCCATCATATTTGCTATGTTGAAGAGAGTACATTGTTATTTCAATTTTTAAGGTGCTGAAAAGCAGGGGAATTTTTAAAAATAATTTTGTGTTCTACATAGTACCTAAAAGAGTCCTTTGTACATAACTGGTGTCCAGAAAATGTTTGGTAGATAAATACATAAATAGTTAAATAAATATGTGGAAGTCACATTTGTGTTCTATACAGTGCCTAATAGAGTACATTGTATACAGCTCGTTCTCAATAAGTACTTGTTAAGCAAATGAGTAAGTGAATAAAGGGTCAAGTATGTGAGCTAACATTGGTTGAGGAGAAGAGCATCTGTATGAATCTTTCAGAAGCAGAAAAAGATTTGGAAACTGGTGTGAAAAAAACTCTTACTCTCAATACACATTTCTTGCAAGGTTTCCCTTAAGAGACCTCAGTGAAGCTGACAGAGAGAGCTGTCCTCAGAGGGAGCTGTACCTGGGCTGCCCCTTGTACCAGGCACTGGGGATGCACCTGTATATGGCTCAGTGTCTGTGGTACAGCAACAGGGGCGGTTTTTTGAGAGCAAATCATGTGCCAAGCAAGTGCTGTGTGATCCCTACAAGGTTCTTCTCCGCTCCAGGAGGTGTCACCAAACTCTCCATTTCGAAGGTGACAAATGGCATTTCAGAGAGGGTGGCCGTTTCTGCACACAGTCACTGGGTGATGACAAAGGGACTCAAACCCCAGTTCTTGTTCATGACCACCGTGCTCCACTGCCCCTCCAGACATGTGCTTCTCTCTGGCACACAAAATACAGATGTGTGAAAAACGTTGTAAAGGGCATAAATCATGTAAATAAATATCGTTTAAATGTCTTACCAGATACTTTTTTTCCCAATTTTAAATTCTGTCAAACTGCTTGGCTGACAATGAGGAAAACCTTGCCCTCTGTTTCATGCTATTATGTCAATCTGCTTATCTGTCTGTCAGCTTGGGCCCCCCTTGAAAAAAGCTGAAAAAGCTGAATCACCATCTGTTGTTCCATGAATGCAATGGACTCAGCATTTGCCTTATCAATGCATGAAGGCCAATGAACAATGGGTACGTGTAGGTGGGACTTAACCCACCGAGTCTGAACTTGTCCGTCTTTCAGCATTTTCTGCCATGATGCTCTTTCCAGGAAGGTCATGGGACGAGAAGGGGAAACTCGGTTCCAGCTGCCAGCCTCTCCTTTATGTGGAAGGATAGCAGACAGAATCAATCAGATTCGTTATCTGTGATTAAATGGCTGGTTATCAGAAGGATTAAACAAATGACAAAATGCACCTCACATTAAAACTAGAGCAAACTGGATTTATTCCCCCCTTCTGTTGATGCAGAGGGCACTGTAGGATTCCACGGAGGCCCAAGGTGTGGCTCTGAGTGTCAACTCTCACTGGTTGAGATCTCAAAAGCATTTTGCTTATTTAAATCCAGGTCTTTTGAGTTGCATATCCATGGATTCACCTGCTTGGCAAAGAGTTTCACACTGAAGGGTCTGTCCTTCATCAGGGGCTAGAAAGAGGTTCTAGAGGGGAGTTTGGAGCAGTCTTTGGAAGGACAGGTGAGATAGGCTTGGTGATGAGGAATCACAGGATCAGGGTCAAGGTTAATTACAAGTGTCACTGCATGTGGGCAGAGAGCAGGGATTGGAGTACTGGGTGGGGATAGGGAGTCTGGGAGGGGCAACACCTGACACTCATTGGATTTATTGAACATGTATGTACCAGGCACTGGACACAAGGCTTATGTGCATAATCTTGTTTAATAAGCCTCTTAAAACTCCCGTGGGACAGGTACTCTAAAGGCCATCTTGCTAACGAGAAACGTCAAGAGCAGAGAGGTAATTAACTGTTGAGGGTGGTGCAGTGAGTGAGGGAGGAGCTCAGCCTTAAGCCTGGGTTTGTGTGACTCCTCCTCCCTGGGCTTCGCCTCCTCCTGCAGACCAGAGCTGACCAGTGAGGCTGCCGGAGGGCCAGATGGGACTGACGAAGACAGAGGGCTTGGCTGAGGTCAGAACACCGGCCCCGGAGGAACGGACTCGGGCCAGGAGCGGAACAGACAGCTCCCCGAGGCTCACACAAACGTCAGGTCAGTTGGGTGTGCCGCGCTGGAGCTGGTCTGCAGCCATAGCGCTCGAGGATTTACTGGTCAAAGCCAGGCCTTTGAAAGCTAGGAGTCCAGGCTGCCTTGTGGGCCCAGGCCAGCTCGAGAGGGGCCGTCCCTCATGTGCTCAGGAATTTGCAAAGGCCCTGGCAAGTTAAGGCTAGAAGAGAGACCTCCGCCGGGTTGTTCCCTCCGGTACCTTCTTGGTGCCTTGTGCTTGCTACTGATTAACGGAGTTGCTACTTACTAATTAAACAAGACATGGCAAAGTGCAATCATGAGATGAATCTCCTCAGTGTGGTCTTTTCACCACCTCTGTCCAAAGGTGTTTCCCACCCTCCAGCTGCTCCATCACTCTGTTACATTTTTGTAAAAAATTTTACATTTTTTTTTTTAGATAAGTATTTTTTATTGAAGGGTAGTTGAGACACAGTATTACATTAGTTTCAGGTGTACAACACAGTGATTCAACATTTATATATATGATAATTCTAGGTACCAGCTATCACCATACCAAGTTGTTACAATAAAAAATTTTACATTTTTTAATAACACTTCTCTCCATCTGAAATTATCGTATCCATGGAACTGGTTACTTGTCAAGAAGAGAAGCTCCGTGAGAACAGGGACCATGTCTATTTGGCTTTCTGCTGTATCCCAGCATCTGAAACAGCTTCTGCTTGCCACTGCTGGTTAAAGGAATGTGTGCTTCGATGAAATGAAAGATAGACTTTAACACACTAACCGACTTCCCTGACAGACACTAATAAACGCACTATCAGGAAGAGGTTAGAGAAAGGTATGTGTGTATGTACAATGCGTAATATAGAATATTACATATTCTAAATCTGACATATAAATACATTTCCAATAAACATAGATATGTTAGTATTAATTCAAATCTTCATAGACCATTCACAGGAGGAAATACATGTCCTAGCTGGTTCCGTGTTGCCACTGTGACCTCGCTGCTAGGCAGTGTAGGAATAAACCTCTTCCGAAGAAGAAATAACCAACCTGAATGCAGCAGCTTCTGGGATTGCAAAGACTGTCCCCAACTCCCTCTAGAATCTCCCTCCAAATGGCCCCTGATGAAGGACAGCCCTTCCATATGCACCTCCTTGCCATGCATGTGAACCCATGGATGTCCTGGATTCCTCTAATTAATGAGGATGCACCAATTTAGGGTTCAGGTGTGGGAACCAGGGGGGATTCACCTAATTCTTTCTGCTCCTTACTTGCCTCTCCAGCCGACCCTTCCCTCTGTTCTCTCTAAGATCTGGCGCTCCCCTTCACTGTGAGGAGCCGCTCCAGGAGGTGTGTGAATGGCCGCTTGCAGGAAGCGGCCAGGAGGCGGCTCTGGGCACTGGAGAATGAGGACCAGGAGGTGCGTGCGCTGTTTAAGGTGAGCGTGGCCTGAGCGGGGCGGACTCTGAGCTGCCTCCTGTCTGTCCACCGTGGGCTCGCAGCGTCTAGGGCGGCGACAGGAATAAAGCAGGCCCCCAAGAAAACCTCTGACTGAACCAATCAGTGGATGAAAATGCACACATTCTCTGCTCAACGAGAATGTGCAGGAACTCAGAATGCGACGATCCCTGGAGTTGCAGCGTCAGAGAAAACTGTCAAATTTGTCCTTACTAGTTGTGTGACCTTTGGCAAGTTACTTAACCTCTGTAGAATGGAAATGGTACTACCTAGCTCAATAAGCCTACTTTCTTTAATATGGAAAATTCGGACTTCATTGTTTTATTATTGTTATAAAACATACATAATATAAAATTTCAATATAAATAATCTTAAGTACAATTCAGTGGCATTAAGTGCATTCACAGTGTTGTGTAATCATTACCACTATCCTTCCCGGAACTTTTTTATCATCTCAAACTGGAGCTCAGGACCCACTAAGCAATAACTCTCCTCTATCCCTAACCCTCAGCCACTGGCAATCACTAAGCATACCTTATTTTAAATGCCCAAATTACCAATCAGCGTTTAATGACTATAAATATTAGAATGAGAGGAGGAAAAGACAATAAAGTAAATAAACCAGTTTCTCATCTTTCATGGTGGGTAGATGGGATCTTGTCAAACTGCTTACAGGTTAGGAGGGCTCCCTAGGAGAACTGACCTCAGAAATGGTTGCAAGTTGTTAGAACTAGAGGGGGAAGAAGGAGACCATTACTTAATATGATAAACTAATGTTCTAGTTATTTTTACAGTCTCTGTATTAATTGGATATAAATGAAAGAGAGAAACAGGCTCTACTCACCTGTCATGTAACAAAAATGGTCGTGTCTGCTTTGATGGGTGGAGCAAACAAGAGGGTCACACAGAGAGCTTGGCTCCGTGCTCAGGTGGGGGCTGGCGCCCCCTAAGAAGTAGATGAAGTATAAACAGTAGTTTGCATTTTTAAATTTCCAGAATTCAGAAGCTTGGAGGCGGTAGATGCTAATTGGCACCGTGGAGTTTCTTCTGATGTGAGTCACTGTTGGCACGCCCGAGGGCTGGGTGTGGCTGAGTGTCCCTGCCCGCTGGGCTGCGGGGTGAGCTGGAAGCTTCGGTCCGAGGCGGGAGTGCGCCGGACCGCAGGTCCAGTCAGGGCGCCACACCCTCCTCGCCGCGTCCCCTGCCTGGGCGCCACACTCCTTGGTCACGGCATAAAGGTGGTGCCACATTCTAGGAAACCCGAGGTGCCGTTTGATTAGAAACTGCACCGCTCTGTTATGTATCTCCAAGAAAGCAAGTGAATACTGCCAACCAAGTATGATACCAGGCTTCCTTACCTTGTATTTCCATAACGGTTAAATGTGGTAAAAGCGCATGTAAGAATGGATTAAGTATCATGATTATCTTTTTTTCACAGGGATATGGTGCGAGTTGAACGAGGCATTGCTCACAAAGCTCTTGGCTAAGCGCCTGGCAGTTAGTCAATTCCCTGTGAATCAGTTTTCGCCCTGAACCTCTTCCCTGACTCCCAGGACCTACATCCTGCAGGGATCCAGGGCCTCCCGGGGCCTGGCCTGAGAAAGCCGCGGGCTCGGCTCTGCTGACCTCAGGGGCTCCGCCTCCGGGTCCTCATCTCTTGTCCCGGCAAGCTCACCCGAGAACAGGGCTCCGGGATTGACCTCGGGTGGCCATATCTGGCCCGGGGGAGAGGGATGTCCCGCCCACCACATGTTACAGTTCACCCAGAAGCTTGGACAGCAGTGGAGAAAGGGTTTAGGGGAAAACCAAGTATGGGCAGTGATTTCGGCCAGCTTTGTCAGGGATTTCAAAGAGGGGAGGGGCTTGCAGGCCGCGCACATGGATTGGCACAGCCTTTCTGGGGCGCTTTGCCTTCCTGCATTTTAGGTCTGAAAATGTGAATATCCTTGCATTTCTAACCACACTTCTCAGAACTACTTGGGTAAACAATCAAAGATGTGTACAAAGATTTAGCAACGGGATGTTTATTACAGTACCGTTGAGGATATTAAAAAATTAAAACAACTCAAATATCTGACCATAAAAGAATTTTAAGAATTAACTATGTTAATGCAGCAGTGACATATGTAACCATTAGAAATGATGTTGATGATTTAATGATACGGGAGATGGTTTATACAATATTGTTTAGTAACAAAATAAGATTACAGAACAATTTGTGTAACAGGATTCTACTTATACATAAAAAGTTACATAGAAACTCACGTATAGGAAAAAAGATTCCTAGTTAATACAGCAAAGTATTAATATTGGTGATTTCTAGAAGGGATTGTGGATGATTTTTATTTTTGTGTGCTTTGATTTTTCTGTTTGCCAGCTTTATAAAAATAATTAGACTTGGAAGCAGCATCAAATGTGTTTCCAAGGTGCCTTCTATGATTTACCCTCCACCTTTCCTGATAAGCCTTTTCTTTTTCTTGTTACACAAAAGGTAGTAGAACTATACACAGTAGAACTGCACACAGTTCTATAGCCCAGTTTATTTTTGTTGTTGCTGTTGTTCCACTTAGCAGAGTATATTTGGAGGCTATATCAGTACACAAAGAGTTTCTTCATTTTTTTATAATACCATACAATATAATACCATAATATTCCATTAAATGGATGAACCATGATTCATTTTAACTAGTCTCCTACTGATGGACATTTAAGTTGCTTTCCTTTTTTATTTTAGGTGATGTGAAAATCAACACCACAATCCAGAAACTCATGCAGAACATTTTGTGCTTGTGTGAGTGTGTTAGGACACTGTCAACCCAGGCTGACGCGTTGTTCTCTCTATTCAGGACCTCTCAGCCAGGTTGGTGGGTATCCAGTCCCAGAAGGCCCAGTTCCTCATCACCTTCAAAACCATGGAGGAAATTTGGAAGTTCTCCACTTACTTGAACTTAGGTAAGACGAGGGGCAGGTAGATGGAGGAGCAACTATGTATGTCACAGCTCAGCCAATTTGTAGGGCTTGACATTAAGGAATGGGTCTGGTAATTGAAAGAGGTCAAGCCTTAACATGGATGGTCAACTTTTTTTTTTTTTTTAGATATCACAAACTGCCTGGAACTAAATCTATCAAATACTAATTCTTACTCTAAAATGCCACCATGTGCAATACTTCTTTGTTTTCAGGGCAAGACTTCTTTCTTAGGTAATCAACCAGTCAGCAAACAGTGATTGGTCACCTACTAAATTCAAAGGACTGAGGCAGGTGCAAAGGTGATGGTTTTTTTTTTTAAAAAAGAGAGGAACCCGTCTTGAATAAGATCAAAGTAGCTGCTCGAAATAGTAAAGTTCCCTGATACTTTATCCCATGCTTCTGGAAAAGAGTAAAAGAAAGAGATGAGAGAGTTACCTGCTGGAGGGGCCTCACATCGCAGGGTTTCCTAGAGGGTAAAGGAGTCACCTTAGAGCGCAGCACCAGGCCTGCTGGGATGGGAAACGGCTCGCTTCTCCACTCCACGGAGAATGACTCCTGACAGGGAGATGTCGAATCCAAAGCAAACGCATCTCCCAGGAAATGCTGGGTTCCATGTGACTCACACAGGAAGCGACCTTGTGCAGGGGAGGGTCAAGATGGCTCCCAGCCAGAAGGTGTGACTTCTCCTCTCGCAGTGGTGATGATTCCACTTTTCACGTCACACGTCTTTTGTGACCATCAGAGGCTCTCACTATTCCAGGTGTGCTCCAGGGACCTGCGGCACTGGCCTCATGTGGGGCTTGTTAGAAAAGTAGAATCCCAGGCCCCACCCACACCTAGTGAACCAGCATCTGTGTTTTAATAAGGTTCCCATGTGACTTGTGTGCACATTAAAGTACAAGAAGTACAATTACAAAAGATAAACGAGGCCCTAACTAGGTACAATGGAAAGTCAGAAAGGAAAGAGATGGGTTTTTGCATCTTAAGAAAGAAAGTTTAAAAAGAAGCAAAATTGTCATACAAATAATTCACATTTACAGGTATGTTTAAAATGCTAAACAGAACTGCAGTTTCCATAGTTTCTAGTCTGGTTTAACAGGGAGAGCTTACTGGGCGTGGGTGAGGGAGAGGGTCAGAGTAGGGATGTAAAGTGAATCCTGATTCCCTTGCGGCCATGGACAACCCCTAGCCACTGTGTCCTCAGCTACGAGAATGTAAGCCTCAAATCAGGAGAATTGTAAGGGAAAACCAAGAATTCACAGAGGCAAAATTGTCATCTTGGAGATTCCTCCATGGATATACTTGAAAGAGGTAACTAGGCTTAGTCACTCATTACTCATTTATGAAGACCCGATAAATGTTAAAAATGGTAAGTATCATTTTTAAATGACTTACATTTCCCAAATGACTTCTCAGGCTATGTTTCTGTGTGTCTGGAGCATCTCCTCTTTGACCACAAGTACTGGCTCAACTGGAGACTGGTGGAGGATACAGAGATCCACGTGTCTGTAGATGATACACACCTGGAAACGATATACCTGGGACTTCTGATTCAGGAAGGTGAGCATGGAGTAGGGGTCTTATGTGGACATTTATTATCAGAGTACTTGAAATAATTAGGGTACAAAGGGAAGCAAAACCAGTGAAACATGAAAATATTCATGAATGAACCCACCTGTTACAATTTTACTCCAAATATCTTTCTCAGTGACATCTCACTGACATCACATGAACAGCTGTGTTGGCTGGTCTCACTGATGATGTTAGAACCACAGGGGGAGTTGTAAAGAGACACCCGTACCAAGGCTCCACCCAAGCCAATGAGATCTCCAGAGGTGGGGGCCAGGCTTTGGGATTTTTTGAAAGTTGCCCAGGTAATTCTAATGTGCATCCAAGACTGAGAGTCACTTTTCTAAACATATGATATCATTTGATTGTAAAATAAAATGGCAAATCTTACAAAACTGAAAGATTTTATGAAATGAAGGAAAATGATGTTGGGGAACCGTGTGAAGCACCCACCAATCTATTTACAAGGAAGGATCCAATTGGGGCTACAGCCGACCAGTTAACAACTGGTGGCATCACAGACCCACTGAAAGAGTCAGATTTGTATAGAATATTGTGCAAAATGAGTCTCTTTAGGAAAACATTGTACAATTCACAAGTGAAGGAAAGAATTTCATACTGTTCTACTATAAAATTTAGTTGGAGAAATTATATTCACCCAAGTCAACTTTATTTACTGTTTTTGGTCCTAAGATTAAACATGAGGTTGCAATTTCAACTGAAGTCCAACTGAATGTCCTTTCCTAAGAGTTCCTTTCATTTTTTTTCAAGGGGAAGTCCCAATTAGACCTTACTCTCACAAATTATTCAGACTTCAGGTGTCTCTTTTAAGTGAGTTCCTCGTCTGTGGCTTTTTTACCTGGTACCTGTATTCCTGGGAATACAAGCACTTCCTGTCCTCTGTGTACTTTACTCCCAGGAAGGAAAGTGTCCGGGCTCTGCCTAGAAAGGTTCCATTGTGTGATAATTCCCTGTTCATTTCCTGCTACTCCTTGCAAGGGCTTTTCTCATTGCCTCCAGGCCACTTCTTCTGCAGAGCCACGTGCTCTGTGGCTCAGCCAGCTGAAAAGGAAGGAGAGTGCTTGACACTTTGCAAGAATGAGTTAATCTCAGTGAAGATAGTCGAAGGTGGATCCGAGTGGGAAGGCGTGTCCTTGGTGACGGGTCAAAGGGGCCTGGTGCCCGTGTCGGTCCTGGAACCCCTGCCACTCCCTTTCCACCAGTGAGTAGCTGCCTGCATCGCGGGAGAAGTTCTGCACAAAACAGAGTAGGCATGCTTGCACATATGGGCATCCACAGTGCCCGGGAGGGGACAGGATCTGGGTGGCTTTTTGTCTTGTTATTTTTTCCACCAATCAAGGTTTGCACGGTTTGGTGACACTGGAGACGACTCAGAATTTCAGAAGAACCTTGTCCCTAAGAGGGAATGAACTGCCTGGTCTCTGAGGCAGGGTCTGTCGTGTAGGGCCTGGGGACCATTTGTATCTGAATTACCTGGGCATTTTACTACAAGTTCAGACCCCCTGGCCCTCCTCAGACTCTCTTGGGGTTGCATCCAGGAATTTGCATTTTATGTAAGCTCCCCTTAAACATCAAGGGATGTCTTTCACACTAAATTTTGGGAATCCCTGCTGGGAGGTACTGCACACTCCAGTGGCGATAAGCATGCTCCTGGGCAATGGAACCTGTGTGTGGCTGTGGGGGAGACTCTGGACTCTGACAGTGAGAATGGAGAGGAATCCCTTGCTAGTTATTTAACTGACAAACTAATTGCAGAGCCAGAAAACATCCCAGGCCTATTGAGCTCCTCTCCTTCTGACAGTGCCCAATAAAGAGTTAAAAAAAATAAACATTTGCCACCATTACGGTGAGAGTAATAACAACAATACTTATCATCCTCCTCATCATTATTTTAACAGACTATTCTGCTAACTGTTCTAATTTTTGGAAATCCATGTTTGCAAACCCCGTGTTTCCACTGGCAGATGGTTCCTAAAGAATTATCCAGGAAGCTGTGGCCTCTCCAGGAAGAGGGATTGGACGGGCTCCTATCAGATCGGTATGGCTGAGTTCAAGAATAGTCTTGTTAGCAAGGTACTATTGCCCTGCCCACTTGCTTTTTCTGCGTGTTTGGAGTTAGGATGTGAATTCCTGTCTAGCCTCCGCCACTGGATTTGGAGAAGCCAGGTATAGTCTGGACCCGTGAGGTTCCTTGCCTGTGAAATGAAAAGCCTCAATCCGAGGCCATAGGTACAAATGCCTATGAGATGAGCAGAACACACAGATGCATGAGGGCAGGGATGGGCGATGTTCAGCAATGGTAGGGACCACAGGGGCCACATACACATGCAAAAAAAACCCCAGTGTGTGTCAAATGTGGCTTGCAGCCTGCTTGTTTTCAATCTCTGGTGAAAACCTTTTCTGACTTCCCTTAGGGTTTTGTGAAATAAATCTTGAATTTAAGAAGAGTAGAAATGCCTGGCACATAATACTCAGTAAATATTTATTGAATAAATGAATGATATATATGTATACACACACACACACTTTTTAGGTACTCTCTATATGTATGTACGTATGTGTGTGTGTGTACACATACACAAACAACTGCAAGTATAGCTGTGTCTACCTGATAGTGAACTTGAATGTTTTCTGGGTATCTAGAATACACATTCTTTTCACCTTCATTCTTAGAGTCCCCCCACCACACCTGGCACAAAGTACAATTCTGTAAGCTCCAAATCCAAATAACACTTTAAAAAAATTTTAAAAAAAGGGAATTAATGGAACCCAGGCATTGGGTCTAATCAGTACTTCACCATAAACAAAATTTTTTAGCTGTGTGAGGCAGTATGGCCTTGTGGTTAGGAACATGGGGCTGTGAAGTCTGTTCTGGGTTCAAATTCTGGCTCCACAACTTAAAAGTGGTGTGACCTCAGCCACTTCCTTCGCCTGCCCTGTGCCACAACTTCCTCACTGGTACAACGTCACCATAAAAGTCAACTCCAAATGCTATGGAACTGACCTAATGGCATCTGTAAGTCACTCAGTACAGGTTTCCTACATTGTAGATCCTGTTTGCCCACAAAGCAGTGGGAATTGCTGATCCTGAAGACACCATCAATAGAAACGTGACCAAATATGCCAGAGAAAAAAAAAGGTAGTAGCTCTAGCAGAGGAGCTAAAACAAGTATAGAAGCCAAGGTGCATAAGGGCCACCCAGCACAGGGTCAGCAGACAGAAGGGCCAACCGGCGCAGGGTCAGGGGACAGAAGGGCTGACCAGCAGAGAGAGACTTAAGTTCTAGACCCAGCTGTGCCACATAAACTCTTTGGACAAATCACATACTGTCTCTGTGCCTCCACCTTCTAATCTATAAAAGCAGGGGATTCTAAGAGTCGCTCTACCTACCCTCTGGGGTTCCTGGGAAGATCTAAGAAAGCCAACTTAAATCTATTTTGTATTCTGGATAGTACAATGCTCATGCGTATGTCATTTCTAGATCCTGCTGGGCGACTTACCAAGCTGGGTGATGACTCGTCCGAAGGGGGGTCTCCCGGACCCTTAGCAGTTTCGTGTGCACCAGGGATAGGAGGCTAATGTTTGCTGAGGTTGATTAGGTTCCATGCTTTGTACACTTTATCCCTTTGACTTTTCCTAACATTCACGAGACAGGTATTCGTATTATCCCCATTTTACATTTCGGGAGACTGAGGGTCACGGTAGCCGAAGGAGCCAGACGGAAACGGAGATCCCCCCGCTGGTTCTCGTCCTGGTCGGAAGGTCTGCGGACCATGACAAAGCGTCTGGCAAACCAAGCAAACTGGGAAAGCAAGTGGGATTTCCGGTGTTCCCCCTGCTCACTTTGCTCAGCGCGAAGGCATATCCAGCATTCTGAGGTCCTCTCTGCTGCATTCGTTAAAAAGCCTCTTTTCTTTTATAAGATGATGGTGAGAGCGGATGGTAGTTCCAATCTTTGAATGTCCTTGTTGGGCAAAATTAAAAGCCAATTACCTGTATCATTCCTACCAATTTCTGGTTTGGGGGAGGATTTTACTGGTCCTTGAAGCCCTTAAGTCTGGGAACCTCGCGTTTGCCGTCGCCCTGGACGTTCCTGGAAAGCTCGGCTGTCTCTGCCTTACACGTGCCTGCTCTGTGCGCTCTCTCCCAACAGGCAGAGGGAAGTGTAAAGCCTTAAGGGGACACGAGAGGGAGGAAAAGGATGAACTGAATTTCCGCCAGGGGGAAAGCATCGAGATCATCGGCTTCGTCGTGCCCGGGCTTCAGTGGTTCATCGGGAAGTCCGTGCACTCGGGGGAAGTGGGCTTCGTCCCCACCAGGAGCGTGGACCCTGACTCTTACTCCCCAGTGTAAGTGTGACGGGGAGGCCGCTGGAATGCCCTGGAGAGGGTCCCGCCCCATCCGTGCCGGTTTGCAGAGGAGCTGCAGGGATGCACTTAGGGGAAGCGGGCTGCGGCCCCACCAGGAGCGCAGACCCTGACTCTTACTCCCCAGTGTAAGTGTGACGGGGAGGCCGCTGGGAGGCAGCGTGGCTCAGCGTGCGGAAGGCCTGGAGTCATCCCCGTGTGCTATGCAGGCGGTCTGGCCACTGGGTGTCACTCTGAGTCTGTGCTCTTCGGTGTCAGGTTTCTGAAGAAGGTTCAGCCTCTTTCAACAGGTTCCCTCCCTGGACAGGTATACGCTCCCTAAGGCGTGTTCATTCCTTCCTCCAACCATCCTCATCCGTCCCCACCCATCATCCACGCATCCTGTTTAATTAAGCCAGCAGAATATGGAGAGTGATTTCTCAGAAACCATTTGCTGAGTCAGATTTAGTCTGTCCCTTTGAAACCCGGGAAAGGGATCCTGCTTATCCGTGGGAGCACAGGTGTGGGTTTCCTTTTTCACAGCACAGATTTCAACACTAGCTACTTATTTTCACAGCAGCAGCAGCTAGAAAACCAGTTCTTAAAAGTTGTGAGAGGCATTCTCTCTGAACAGACTTTGTATTTACACGTTTGGCCAGAGTGATGTCAGGGACCTCAGAGCTCCTTGTGCTGACAGAAGGCCACATTCTTCCGGATTTTTATGCTTTTAAAAAATACTTGGGGTGTGTGTTTGTGTATGTATGTGTATTTTAATCGAAAAGCCTTTAGATATATCTGAAGACACCTTTTTATGCTTTTCTGCTTTCATCCTCTGGTTCTGATTCCCACCCCAGAAGCAAACTCTATTTGAAGTGTGTGTATCTTTCCAGTCCTTCTTCGGATACATTTTAAAAATAGGTATTTGTTCATGAACAAAAAATTACTATGGTTTTCTGTATTTTAAAATGTGTATAAATGTTTTTCTGCCACTGGCCTTTTTTTCAATTGACATTGTAAACTTAGGATTTATTCATATTTTAACAGGTAATGTTCATTTCAATAAAGTGTTACTTAAAGAAAATTTATATACTTAAATGCCTAAATTAAAAAATAAGCAAGATTGAAAAGTTAATGTGCTCAAACTAGAATAAAGAACATAGGAAGGTAGCCAGCATTTCATAGTAATAACATTAAAACAATTTGTTTCTTACATCCCTTCCTTCAGTCTTCATGTTGTTGATTGGTGTCTTCTTTATAATTCTATTTTTTGTGGCATCCATTTGGCTAATGAGAAGTTTACTTTTAGTCTCACAACCATTTATTTGTGAGTAGGCAGCTTTTTTTCTCTGTTTTTTTTTAGGTTTTGAAACTGACATTTTGCAATTGTACTATGACATGTCTAAATGTGATGTATTCTGTTACATATTTATAATAAGCTGCCCACTTCCTTCTTAATAATATATATCTGTTAGTAGTTATTGTAGCAAAGATTAGTGAGTTGTAAATACTCTCAATCTCTTGTCCTTGTTTGCCTTGAATATACTTAAAAATATACTCATAAATGATAATTTAGCTCGGTTTAGGATAACCTGCAAAGGAAGTCAGAGGAGAAAAATAACTACAAATATAAAATTTCTTATATTTTGCCAAGGTTATGTCCATTTTGTTTGTCTTTTGAGAGAATTAGTTTTTCTTTTGTTGATCATCTCCATTGTTTCTTTGTTTCCTATTTCATTAGTTTCACATTTGACTTTATTTTCTTTTACTTTGTTTTTATTTCATTAACTTATGTTCTTATCCTTTATTTTTAACTAATGTCATGAGTTGAACAGTCAAGTAATAGATAATTGAGCCCAGAAAGAAGGATTAGGAGCAATAGAAAACCTGAAAAGACCTATAACTCAAAGAAATGGAAAACATGCTAAAATTATATTATTTTTATTTATTTTGTTCAGGACTGGGTGTACTTCTTCAATGGAAGACTCAGGTCTTTCTTCAATTCTGGAAAATTCTGTCATTCTCCCTTTGAACATTGCCTCTCTCTTATTCTTTTTAGTCTCTCTCCTGGAATTCCTATTAGAGGTATGTTGGACTTGTCATTCCATTCTCAATCCTGCTTAATCAGTTCTTTTATATTTTTCATCTTTTGTTACTCTAGGCTACATTCTTTGTGATTTCCTAGGAACAATCTTCAGTTTCGCTAATTCTCTCTTCTGCTGTGACTACACCTGTTTAACTCCCTTATGTAGTCCTAATGTCCATGCTTTAATTTTCATTTCTAAAATTTATATTTTGCTTTTTTTCATATGTGCTTATTTCTGCTCACAATGTTCCATGTTTTCATTTTAAATTCTGATCATTCTTTTTATTTCATCATTTTAACCATGCTTACTATAAATTAATCTTCAAATTGTTTTTATTTCTAGTTTTTGTAGTGTTAATTTTCCTATTAGTACATCTGCAGGCTCTTTTTGTCAGTAGTTCATTTTCTTGTGTGATTTGTAGTTCTCTTAATTGAGCAACTTTTCAAAGGTTTAAAAGATTGTCTTTGCATGCATCCTGAACTGGAGAAAGCATCCCAGAGGGGCAGTTTGGGCATTTGCTTCCCCTGGAAGCTTAGGAACTCAGTGATCTAGGGCTGGTTTTTATTTTTAAGTTCTCTGACTGCAGTACCTACATTGTGCAGTGCAGATTCAGATCCCACACGTTCTAATGGTTTGAGTTCAGGTGTTTGATTTTTTTTCCAGGTGCTCAGTCACATAGAAAGTACGATCTTGACAGGCAAGTTTTCTAATTCCCCTCTTTAGGAAGTTGCAGGCCTTCCAGACTTCAGGCCACAGGGAGCGCAAAGCTCTGTGTGAGCTCATTTCAGCTTCCCTGCCTCACACAGGTCCAAAGTCGCATCTCTGTCCCTGGGTGTGTTCACGAGGTGAGCCCCAGCCTGAGGGCCAGTGCTTCTGTGGGAATGTCCTGCCGCCTGCCCAGGGTCTCTGGGCCGGCTGCTCTCACTTACCAACTTGGCTTAGTTTCTCCCTATGTTTCTGGCTCCAAGGAATTTCCCTTTCTTTCTTTAAAGTTTTAATTATACATTAAAATGTTTATCTTTGTCACATTTCAACCAGGACTTGTCTGTGTATACGGGGAAGAGTAGCCCTGTATGCAGCACTTCATATTTCTGCCGTATGCCATACCACATTCCATCTGACCCCATTTCCTTGCAAGGAAAGCCCTGCTGTAATCTGTCAAGCTTCTTGGACTCTAAATGCCTGGACTCAGGACATCAGCAGGTCAGTTGTGAGGCAACTGATGCCGAGGCAGAAAACCTCAGCTTTACTACTTTCAAGCTGAGTCATTCTGAGCATGTCACTGAATCGTGCTGAATCTTCATCTACAAATATGGATAAAAATACCTACATCACAGGGTTATCATAAAGAGAAAGTGAAGTAATAAATTTAGGAATGCTTTGTAAATTGTGAGCGTTCTATAGAAATTTGGGGTCATATAATTCTTTTTCTCTCCGATGAGTTTCATTGTAGATTTCAGTTAGATGTCCTTCTGAGGATGGACACTCTCATGGTGCTGGGGAGAATCTGGAGGTCAGACCAGAGAGACAGGGGTTCAGTAGGTGTTGTGGAGGAAAGAGCCCTGGGCCAGATGTCAGGATGCAGCTTCGGTGCCAGTTCTGCCACTAACTAGTGGTGTGACCTTGAGCAGCTCATATTAGCTGCCAGTTTTCTCATCACTGGCTTTATCTGAGCTCTGGGGACAAAGGGTAAGTGGCAGACCACAGCATTCCCATCCCCATCTTCCCCTCAACCCTGCTTTAACTAGAGAAGCCCCTCTTACATCCTGCTCTGTCACCTCCCAACCACTGACTTCATTTTCTTGTGCCTTTGTTTCTTCCTCTGTAAAGAAGGGATCAGAATAGTAGCTCCATCATAGGGCAATTGTGTGGATTGAATGGGATAACAGTGTCTGATTCATAATAAGCCCCTGGAAGTGTTAGCTGTTGTTAACTCTTGGGCTTCTAAGTTACTTTTATTTGAAAAATTGATCTTGAGGTTAAAAAAAACACACTTTATTTGGAGCTGAGAGAAATCTTAAGAATCATTCAGATACTGGACTGAATACTTTCTAAGGCACTTCTGATTTTCAAATTCTTTGATTCTGTAACGATCTCTAGTGGAGCTAATTAGTCTGTACAATAGAGCTACTGCAAAGGTTTCTATTACTTACAGTCATTTCTTCAAGCCCTGGCCCAGCCTCTATCCACTTGCCACCCTCTAGCCTGCCATTTCTCTCTTAGTAATGCTCCATAATGCTGTTATTCTGTGTCATAGAACCAGATGTCAACAATTGTGAAATGTCCCCTCTGACCCACAGTCAAACTTTCTTCGTTGTTCCTCTAGATTGTGTCACCTGTTCCTAGTGTTTTCTTGAAATGACCTGACAAAAAACTTTTTTAATGGTCTCTTTCCAACCCTTACATTTAGGGCTGCCAATTCTTATTTCTCCCATTAAAAATGGGCACCACGGAGTCTAAAAGAAAGGGTTGAGAGAAGGGGCTTTGTTTTTCTTGGGAGATGGAGTTTTAACAGGAGGGGCATTTTCATTCCCATTTGACCTCTTCAGCAACTACATAGCTTGCTTCTCCATGGACAGGACACTAACAGCTCTCCTTCCCTGGAAGTATAAATAAATGCATCATACGACAGTGAGATGAGGAGTCTGAGGTCAGCTATGGCAAATGGGTTGATGGCTTCTCTATGTCCTTCACCATGTACAAGGGTGGAGAGGGGACGGCCTGTGTCTGGAGCCTTGCACTGATCCATGTCCATGTCTTTGCCTCAATGCAGGAGCAAGAACTCAGCCTTTTTCAGTGATGAGGAAAGATGTTCTCTGTGGGTCCTGGGAAGTGACAGGAGATCTGAGTGTGCCAGCTTCCTCCACACGCTTGCTCGCACTGACATAGCATCTGTCTACCGGCTTAGTGAGTGTTTGTCCCTCAGTCCCTTGGAAAGCCCACGTTCCTCAAGATTAAGAGAGTGTTTCTAACTAGGAGTAGAATACCTCTAAAATCTAATCCCATGCATGAATTTGGGGCTATGATCACTATTCAGCAGATGACCGGGATCATATTGAATTAGCAGCATTTTCACTTTAGATTTCAGACAGTTCTGAGGTTGCGTGGGCCTTTTTGCCTAGAAACAATGAGATCAAATGAAACCAACTCAGCTATAGAGCATGGAAGGTCAGCCGTATTGAAGATACAACATAATCTCGGAGATGAAAACGTCCTGATTTGTGTTAGGCCCCAAAACTTCCTTCAAGGGCTAAAGTAGGGCTAGGTCCCCAAAAGATAAAGGTGGGGCCGTAGAATGTTACAGCAGAAAGGACCCTAAGCGATGATTTCTCCTCTTATTTTACCGATTGGGGAACTGAGGCCTGGGCCAGGATAAGAACTGCCCTTCCCCATTTTATAGGCAGGACAATCCCTACTTTACCACACTGCCCGGGTGCAGAATGACATTGAGTATTGTGTCACCTGTTCCTAGTGTTTTCTTGAAATGACCTGACAAAAAACTTTTTTAATGGTCTCTTTCCAACCCTTACATTTAGGGCTGCCAATTCTTATTTCTCCCATTAAAAATGGGCACCACGGAGTCTAAAAGAAAGGGTTGAGAGAAGGGGCTTTGTTTTTCTTGGGAGATGGAGTTTTAACAGGAGGGGCATTTTCATTCCCATTTGACCTCTTCAGCAACTACATAGCTTGCTTCTCCATGGACAGGACACTAACAGCTCTCCTTCCCTGGAAGTATAAATAAATGCATCATACGACAGTGAGATGAGGAGTCTGAGGTCAGCTATGGCAAATGGGTTGATGGCTTCTCTATGTCCTTCACCATGTACAAGGGTGGAGAGGGGACGGCCTGTGTCTGGAGCCTTGCACTGATCCATGTCCATGTCTTTGCCTCAATGCAGGAGCAAGAACTCAGCCTTTTTCAGTGATGAGGAAAGATGTTCTCTGTGGGTCCTGGGAAGTGACAGGAGATCTGAGTGTGCCAGCTTCCTCCACACGCTTGCTCGCACTGACATAGCATCTGTCTACCGGCTTAGTGAGTGTTTGTCCCTCAGTCCCTTGGAAAGCCCACGTTCCTCAAGATTAAGAGAGTGTTTCTAACTAGGAGTAGAATACCTCTAAAATCTAATCCCATGCATGAATTTGGGGCTATGATCACTATTCAGCAGATGACCGGGATCATATTGAATTAGCAGCATTTTCACTTTAGATTTCAGACAGTTCTGAGGTTGCGTGGGCCTTTTTGCCTAGAAACAATGAGATCAAATGAAACCAACTCAGCTATAGAGCATGGAAGGTCAGCCGTATTGAAGATACAACATAATCTCGGAGATGAAAACGTCCTGATTTGTGTTAGGCCCCAAAACTTCCTTCAAGGGCTAAAGTAGGGCTAGGTCCCCAAAAGATAAAGGTGGGGCCGTAGAATGTTACAGCAGAAAGGACCCTAAGCGATGATTTCTCCTCTTATTTTACCGATTGGGGAACTGAGGCCTGGGCCAGGATAAGAACTGCCCTTCCCCATTTTATAGGCAGGACAATCCCTACTTTACCACACTGCCCGGGTGCAGAATGACATTGAGCTGTTGGGTGGGTCAGCCTTGGGTGGGTGAGGGGCCTCTGAGCCTAGCAGTTTGCAGCAGCATCTGACTGAGGGAATGAATGACACTCTTTTCTTTTATTCTGGGAAGGAAGCATTTTCACCCACTGACAGTGGTTTGAGGAAGGATTCTTGTTTCTACCATTTCTTCAGTGATGGTATCCACTCCTGTGTGGCCAGATTTGATGGGGCATATTTCCTGGGCATAACCAGAGATTCTGCAGAAGGGCCCCTCGGGCCAGCTCTCAGGAGCAGCGGTGGGAGTTGAAGTCTTTCTCCGTGCACATGGAGCATTGTGGAGAGCACCTAGCCCACGAGTCAGCTCCGGCGCTGCAGAGCCTTCTCGCCCCAAGCAGATCACACTCCCCCTCCCCTGCCCCCGCCAGGCTGAAACAGGAAGCTGTAGCTGAGGGTACTGCCTGGTAGGCAGGGGCTGAGGTCTGAAAATCAAGGACTATCGGGTTGTGCCCTGGGGTAGCGTGGCCCACAGACGTGGATCCCAGGCATCTGCTACCTGCAGATCCAATTGTTGGGAGAGATTAAGGAGCAGGTCCCAGGGAGCCTGTTGCTTCTTACCTGGAGACCAGGAGGGCAGCTCTGCTGGATGCAGGGATGCACCTCCTGGTTGCACAGGCTGAAGGGGCATCCCATTGGCAAGTTCCAGCTCCCCCAAGGCCTGGGGAAAGAGCACCTATCTCTGATTCCTCCTTCTGAGGGAGCACTGTCTTGACGCTCATGCACCATTTGTGCTCTCAGAAGTGCTGACCCAGAGGAACTGGCTGCAGTTAGACTGGCGCTTGTCCTCAATGTCAGTGGGGGCCGGGGTGCGTGGACAGCTCTCCAGAGCCCAGATCTCTAGTTCTCCTGGGTTTGGTGGTGGGCCTGTCTCCCTTTAGGGGGGGTACAGGTCTCAAGGGTCTGTAGTGCCACTCACAGAAAAAGCCGTCCCCAGATAATAGCAGACAGAGGCTGGACTTGGTGAGATGCCTGCTGTTCTCCAAGTTCACTAGAGAACTTAGGGTGAGGACACAAGGGGTGGCTGCTTCTTGGCCAGGAAGAGATGGCGTCTTCTCTCCCGCAGCCCCTGTCCTGTGGAGCAAGAATGTGGCGCCCAAATCAAACGAATATTCATATTTGACCTGATTGTTTATAGTTCATAATGCGTGATCAAAACCGAAAGTTTCTGTGATGACTGCCCTTGCACTGTTCACCATGTAAGAACTTATTCACTATGTAAGAATTTGTTCACCATGTAAGAACTTGTTCGTTATGCTTCAGAAGATTGGAGACTGTTGAGAATTAGGCTTGGGGTTGATTAATGACTGTGCATTGAGTCCTCTATACAGAATTTTATTGTTGTTAACAACCATTTGATCAATAAATATGGAGATGCCCTCTCAAAAAAAAAAAAAGAATGTGGCCCCCACCTCCACTGGTCCACTTCAGCCAAGAGGGTTCACTTGCTGGCAAACCTCCAGCAGGGCTGGTTCCACCTTTGCGACATCAGGTGGCTGTACCTGGGCACCCTGGTGTCTGTGAACCCTCTTTTACCTCTGACGGTGCCTTTTCGGTCTCCTTCGCTGGCCCCTATCTGCCAGCGAATGTTGATGCTCTTTGAGTCATTCATAGCTGCCCCCTGTTGTCCCCCCAGATGCTTTGCTTTCCCCCCCAAATGCTTCTCCTGGGACTTCGACACTTCCTCATGACTTGCTGTGGGTCACAATCTATATTCGCAAGTCTACGCATTTTTCCTAAGCTCCAGATCTATTCCATTCTCTGCCTAGAGCTCCTGCAAGTACCTCAAACTCAAGATGCCTAGAACTGTGTGCAAGACTGTCTCTTCTTCCACCTCATCCCACTAAGTCACTTCAGGGAACAAAACTAGGACCCTTGCCCAGACGCTTCTTTCCTTTCCTCGTGATTCACATTTGGTGCCCTAGTCCTGCCGAAGCACAGTGTGTGCACTAATGCCATGTCTGTTGAGTGGGCAGGTGATGAATGAACAAGAAAGGAAGAAGGAATCCCATACATACAGAACTGGGCCATGGCGCCACGTGCCACAGAGAGCGCTGACGTGGCAGTCTGCTCGCTGCTCTGTAGTAAACTTGCTGGGGGACTTGGGTTCCCGACTCCATCACCCCCACATCCCCCGCATCCCCCGGCCTCTGGGCACAGAGCCCGTGTTCCCAGCTGTCCTTCTCCGACTCTGGCTCCCATGTCATCTCGGTTCCTGACCGTACAGGGAGTGGGTCACCAGGTCATCTCCAAGTCCCTGCGGCTCTGAGACTGATGGTGAGGGGAGGATTCTTAGGGACGCCTGAAGGTCTGAAACAGTCTCCGAAGGGCCCACTGGTTGGGTGTACACCTGCAGGCATGGGCAGGGTGGCCCATTCTGACTTAACACCAGGTCTGTCCTTCATCTCCATCCAGGTGGGTTTGAATCCATCCAGAATCTTCCAAATGATCTGAGCGGTGAGTAGCAATCCTGCCGAACATGGCTCCGGTGCTTCGGGGCAGCATCCTGTCCTCTGCCAAGAGCTGGCCAGCAGAGCTGCCGGAGCTTGAGGTCACTCAGTTCTGCCTATCCCTTACAGTGCCCCGACCCGACGGCCTCCAGGAGGCCAGGCCTCGTGGAGCCTGGGAGGAGCAGCAGGCTGTGGGCCCCAGACAGTCCAGCAGCTCCGAGGAGTCCAGCCCGGAGGAGGAGCTCCTCTCCGCCGCCTCAGACAGCTACCATCTGCCAGAGCCCGATGGCCTTGATGACCCAGAGCTGCTCATGGACCTGAACACTGGCCTGGAGGAGGAGGAGGCTGAGAACTTCACCCCCATACTGGTTTTTCTGGATCACGAGGGTTATGCCAACCACCTTAAGAGCCTCTACGATTTCTCCTTCTCTTTCCTCACATCTTCATTTTACAGCTTCTCTGAGGAGGATGAGCTTGTGGCCTACCTGGAGGCCTCGAGGAAGTGGGCCAAGCGCAGCCACATGACCTGGGCCCATGCCCGGCTCTGCTTCCTCCTGGGTCGGCTGAGTGTCAGGAAGGTCAAGCTCTCTCAGGCCAGGGTGTACTTTGAGGAGGCCATCCACATTCTCAACGGGGCATTTGAGGACCTGCCGTTGGTGGCTGCTCTGTACATCAACGTGGCTGCCATCTACCTGAGGCAGAGGCTGAGGCATCAAAGCTCTGCCCTGCTGGAAAAGGCAGGTGCCCTGCTGGCCTGTCTGCCAGACCGTGAGTCTAGCGCCAAGAATGAGCTGGACGTGGTGGCCTATGTGCTGCGCCGGGGCATTGCGGCTGGCAGCTGCCCCCTGGAGGCCAGGGCCTGCTTTCTGGCCACCCAGCTGCTCCTGCGCCTGGGCCGGCATGAGGAGGTTCTGCCATTTGTGGAGCGCCTGCACCTCCTCTGCGGACACCCTCCTGCCTCCGATGCCGCAGCCACCCTCTTGAGCTTTCTATATGATAAGAAATATCTTCCACACCTTGCAGTGGCCTCTGTCCGGCAGTGTGGTATACAGAGTGTCCAAGGGACGTCCCTTCCGATTTGGCAGCTCCGCCTGCTTCTCCAGAACACCACCAAGCTCCTTGGAGTTCCCTCCCCAAGCCAGGGTGAAGTTTCTGCCCTGGCCTGCCCCGCGCTCAGGCAGGCGCTGGCTGCCTGTGAAGAGTGGGCTGACAGGAGAACCCAGAGGGCCGTGTGTCTCATCCTCTCCAGAGTGTACCTGCAGCATAGGTCTCCTGATGGTGCCATCCACTTCCTGAGCCAAGGCTTGGTGCTGGGGCAGCTGCTGGGTGCACAGGAAGCCTTTGAGTCTTCCCTATGCCTGGCATGGGCCTATCTCTTAGCCAACCAGGCGAAGAAGGCTTTGGACCTCCTTGAGCCACTCCTAACCTCCCTGAAGGAGACGGAGAGTATTACCCAAAAGGGGGTGGTCCATAACCTCCTGGGACTTGCACTTCAAGGTGAAGGCCACGTGAACAGGGCAGCCAAGAGCTATCTTTGGGCCTTGAGCAGAGCCCAGGAGATGGGGAATTTGCGTAACCAGGCCGTGGCTTTGGCCAATCTTGGCCACCTGACCCTTAAGTCCTGGGCTCAGCAGCCGGCCAGGGACTATCTTCTGCAGTCTGTCCGACTCTATTCTGAACTCCAGGCAAGCATGGAGACAGAAATGGAATTAGTACAGGTGCTTCTCTGGTTGGCCCAGGTTCTCGTGTATGGACGCCAGCTGGCCAGTAGCCGCCTTTGTTATGAAATGGCGTTGCTGTTTGGCTTGAGGCACGGACACCTAAAGAGTGAGTATGCCCTGTGCTGCAGGAGGCTTCGGGGAAGTGTTAGAGCGTGCTTTGCCCTTGTCCTGTCTCAGGTGATCTCATTCATGTCCCTGCTTTATGTTCAGGTCAGCTTCAGGTCACCAAATCCCTCTGCCATTTCTACAGCTCTGTGTCCCCGAACCCCGAGGCATGCATCACCTACCACGAGCACTGGCTGGCCCTGGCTCAGCAACTCAGGGACAGGGAGATGGAGGGAAGGCTGCTGGAGTCCCTCGGGCAGCTCTACCGGAACCTGAACACAGCCCGGTGAGTCCAGGCTCAGGAACAGTCCTAGAAACAGCTTTCTGCCTTAAGGAGAAGCGGTATCCTTTCTCTCAGGACACCAAGTCCAGATGCTCATGTTATATTTATGGCATCACTGAAAAGAACATGGGTTTTGCAGTGTAAACCCAGTGCCATCTATCACTTACTAGCTGGGTGACTTTGGGCAAGTTATTTAATTTTTCCACCCCTCAGCTTCCTCATCAAAGGAGATTCATGTTGGCATCTATCACATAGTATCATTATGAGGAGTAAATGCATTAATGCCCACAGAACACTTGGAACAGTGCCTGATATGCAGAAAGGGCTCAGTAATGTTGGCTTTGTTACAATTACTTGGGTGTTGCCATAACAACCCACCAGTGACCATGGCTGAGGAGGGTGCGTGATTCAGAGAGGGGGCAGTTATTCCAAGAACTGGAACCCGCAGTTGGTCTTTGGCACCTGAGGACGTTTGGAATTAGAGAAATGACATGAGAGAAAATCACTCCCCTGAATGCAGGGGTGTAAAATTTCACTATAAAAAAAGTTTGATTGGAAATTCACCTTTAAAATAAAATTGGAAATGATGAAACTAAGTTTATTTTCACCTTTTAGTTAAGAGACTTAGGTTACAACTTCAACTATGCACTGAGGCCTAGAATAAACAAAAAAGTGGTGATGAATGTTTAGCCTGTGCTGACAAAGTTGTGTAAGAGCACAATGAACCGGCTTTTGTTTTGTGAGGAACTTCATCAGTCTCTTAAAAAGGCTGATTTTTTTTGCAAAAGTATACCAGAATTTAACTGTTTTACCCAAGGCATCTTTTAACCCTTTGATATTTAAATCATTCTAACCAGGGATGTATCCGGCCATCCCCAATTGATTCTTTCTTCCCTGATCTAATCTGTTTAACCTGAATTTGTCAGTGGCCAGTCTGCAGTCCTGCTTTCTAATAAGCCTCTCGTTGATTGCATTAAATTCTGCATTGTTTGCAAGATACTCAATTTTGTTTTGCAGCAGATTAGCCTCGTAGCATTGTATCCATAATTATAAATGACTTCTAGAATAGGGCAGGGATAATTGGTGGTGTTGAGCAGAGAGAGGTGGTTGAGGAGAAGCTAATTAAATGATGATTTTTGCTTCTCTAGGCAACATGATAACCTTGGGCACTTGGACAAGCAGATCATTAGTAATCCGATAACGAATTCCCTCTCTCTCTCTCTCCACCACTGTCTCCCTCTCTCTCACCCTTTAACTCCTAGAAGAATCGGATGTCCTCTAAACCTCCCATTGTCTGCCTTCCATCCCAGGGAGGAATTTCGGATCCTTGCAGAATGTGAAGGGACAGGAGTCCTGGTCCTTGCCCTGCACTGCTTCCTTTCCAGGACCCTGTAGGAATGTCCTTTCATTGAGGAACGTATTTTTGGAGGTCCTTACTCCATTGTTCTGAAAGGTGACCTACATTAGGATGTTTTAATCCCAGTATTCTGTAAATCTAAACTCTGAGATTTTGGTTTGCATAATTGGAAGGAAATAAATATTCACTTCTCCTGCTTTACTACCAACAGGAGTGACACAAAGGGGAAGATTGGGAAGTGCCTTGGGTGTCAGAGGAAACTCCTGCAAGCATCAGATCATGATTTCTGCAGAAAGCTTAGTTCATCCAGAACAGGTTATAATGCAGTGTTCAGTCAGCATGCATAAATCATCTTCTCGTACAGAGCACTGAGGGGAAAAAAAGAACAAAGAGCAGCTCACAGACACAGGTAAACGGGTGTTTCCCCACACCTGGAGCTAGTTACTGTAATTGAAGTGTAAGCTTCCTGGTAGCTGAGGTAAAAAGGTGATAGCATATGAGGTTCTCACTGTCTGATAAAAGAACATAAGTCACTGTATTTGTTGGAGTGAATCTTTTCCTGGCAGGAATTTCTAGGAGGAATTTATTAAATGGGTCTTGATGGAATGGACAGATTTCTTCAACTAAACTCCCCCCAGGGGCTTTCCATTCTCACAAAGCTCAAAGCCATAGCAGGAAGGCAGAAAGTGCTCGCGGGTGCTCGCGGGTGCCCTGACAGGCGTCTGTGGGGGCAGATTCAGAGGGAAAAGAGAAAAACACTCTCTGCTAAGGGCTGAGGGAATCCGTCAGGAAGGTTTCTTGGAGGTGGTGGGTAGCCTGTGAGAAGGAGGCCCTTGAGGGATGAGTGAGGTTTTGAAAAGTGAAGACGACTTAGAGAATAGCCGCCTTGCCAATGGGTTTCAGCCCCCGGCAAGTTTGCTATGGATTCAGGGAGACCGGAAAATGACAGCGGAACGTTCCTGAGGTGAAAGGATTTATACCCAACTTTATTCCCACGGTGGCAGGCCAGTCACTAGAATGCCAACAGCTCAGAGCAAGTCTGCAGGCAGCAAGCCCGTCCCTGCCTCTGGGCCTTTCTGCCCACAGCCATCTCAGTCTCTGTCCTCTGCTCTGCTCTCCTGCAGCCCTGCAGCCCTGCAGCTGTGCAGCAGCCCAGAGCACTGGGCAGAACTCTTTATATAGAGTCTGTAACAATGCGTTGCCCACACGTGTGTAGTGAGCAAGCCATCCAGGGCCAGGTGAGAATCCTGGCCACAAGAACGTTCACTTTATCCACAATAGCCCTTCAGGCAGAGGGCACAGCAGAGCTGTGGAGAGGTGGGGACGCATTTGAAAGATATTCAGTAGGTTTAACAGGCTGAGTTTGATGTTCAGCTGCATATGGGTAGTGACTCCGACCTGCTCCCTAGGAGAGGATGTGAAGTTTGGGTGGGGGCAGGGGGAGGCTGCAGGGAGCCTTCTGGACGTGTACAGGGAGCTCTCACAGTGAAAATGGGAGTCGCAGTAGTGACTGAAGGTGTCCAGTGAGCACACACTGCCTACCCAGCCGTGTATAAACTGTACAAGGTGGGAAGTGTCGTAGAAAGTGAGTGCTAGCGAGGCCAAGGGACTGCATGAGGCCAGACAGAAGGACTGTCACCCAGTCTGAGTGTAGAACAGGAGTCGGCAAACTTTTTAGTAAAAGTTCAGCTAGAAAATGTTTTAGGCTTTGTGGGCCATGTGGTCTCTGTCACAGATACTCCACTCTGCACTTGTGGCTTGAAAACAGCCATAGACAATATGTAAATGAATGAGTGTGGCTGTGTTCCAGTAAGATTTTATTTATAAAAGCAGGTGGAAGGCTGTACTGGGAACAGGGCCGTAATGTACCAACCCCTGGGTAGAGTGCCTAATCTCAACTGCTTTGCATGTATTGTACCTGTTCAGCGAATAATTTCACCCTAAGTAGGTATATAGGTGTGGATGACGGCCGTGTAGTGAAACCTCCGGGAACTGCATGGCTGAGAATGGCCTCGTTTTCCGCCTGGTCTGACTCCCGCCTGCTCCAGAGAGTGCGGACTGCTTTGTTTCACTGCTATTAGGCCAGATCTCCGACTCCTCAATTTAAGGTGTTTTTCACTGTCTTTTGCTGCTTTTCTACTCATTTTAATTCCTCCTTTTTGAAAGATTTTCTCTAGGATTTAGAGGTGGAGAATAGTTGGAGAGGACAAGTAGAGGGTGAAAACTTTGGCCCAGTCTTAGGGTTTTTGCCCTCTGACCCTTGTCTGACCTCCCTTCCCCTCCCTTCAGTCTTGCTGCTACCTGGCAGCTCGTCTGGGGGTCTCTCCCTGCTCACTAGGGGAAACCTCAGCCTGGACGGGGGAGGGTCCTTGACTCTGGGCAAGAAAGAACTCTGTAAACAGGTCAGAGGAGTGCAGGTAAGTAAGGAATTCATTAAAGCAAGAGCAGCAGGGAATGGCAGCTGCCGTGCAGACAGCAGAGAGCAGGAGAGTGCAGAGGGGAAGAGGGAAAGTCCTCCTTCTAGGGCAGATCCCTTGCCAGCTCTGAAAGCCAGGGTCACATGGTGTCCTGTGTCCTCATGGATCTGCACAGCGTGGGGACTGGCCCCTACGACCCCAGGAACTGGGGGAGCCATGGAGCATGGGATGGAGGGAGATTATGTCCTGAGAACTTTCCAAAGAAAGGAGATTTTCATGTAGGCTATGAAGAGCAGATTGTACAGCTGCGGTTCCGTCCATGTCACCCAGGCAGTGGGAACTTGCAGGCCCAAATTTGAGCTCTTAGTAGCCCCTTCCTACTTACAGGGAGTAAAGCAGAGACAGAATGGAGACTTGGAAATAAAAGGAAACAACAAAGACACAAAATGCAATGATATGAGCAGTGAGAAGGCTTTATTTGGAAGTACACACTTAAAGAAAGGAAAGTGCAGGCGTCCTCAGAGAGGAGGTGCGCTGAAAGGTTGGGAATTCTGTTTTTTACGGCTTCCAAGCATGGGCAGAGGGCAGCGGGGGGTCGTTGGGCATGGGTTTGACTTGTGGTCTCAAGGTGCTTATCTCTGGTGAGAGACACCATGCCTCCTCTCCTCCGTTATCAGTCCTCCCACTGATTCTGCTAAATAAACCCAACAGGAGGGGTTTATTTACCCTGTTCTTCCCCAAGATAGTGGTTACCCTCAAGCAGTGAGGACAGGTCAGTTAAGACTGCTTGCTCTGCCTTAAGGTAGGCTGTCAGCTGATACTAAAGAGTATGTTAGGAATCTTACTTCTGAACACTCTGCTTTTTAAAGTGGACTCTTAGTGTTAGGATGGAGTTCCTCCTGTTCTTACTACACTGTTTATACCTCAGCATTTTTCATCATAGGCAGGAAAAGTTAATCATGGTGCTTGTCCCCTGTCCCTGCGCCACCTCATTGCTATCTCTGCCTCCAGGGTGACAGACAGCTGCAGAATCTAGTTTGATGAAGCTCTTCAACTCCTCGAGGGTTGGGGCCTTTGGGGAGTCTCGTCTTCTGTCTTTAGGTGACATAGTACAGCCTGTCCCCTTGCTCTAGGGCTGATCTGAGGTGGGGCAGTGTCCATGAGAACTCCGTGACTCTTCTGAACCCACTCAACAAATATTTACTGAGCATTTACTATGGCTACAAAACTGGACAAGGAGATCGGTTCAGGAAACAGGCCTTATACACAATCACCAAAGGTACCATATAAATTATGGTAATTGTCACAAAAGATGCACATCCTATTTTTAGGAAGAAGAAATGCCTTGCACACCTACGTCCTGACAAAATAATGATTCTTTGCACATGAATACAATAGTAGTCCAGAAGTTATTACTCCTGGCTTTTATTCTTATTCTTGTTTCTTATTCCTGTGGAACTTAAAATACAAATGCTTCAATGTTTGGTTTTCAAAATAGCTGATAGGACTAATCCCTAACATTTCTGTAATCCTAAACAAGGAAATAATTGTTTTGACGACTTGCAGTCATTTGATCGCAAGGCTAGGATGTACTTCTCTACTCCACTTTTGCAGGTGAGGAAACTTTGTTCAAGATTTGAGATAGCTTATGTCCTTCAAAACTTGCAGTTGTTAAAGGGGTACATGAAGTCAAAGTCGTCCCCTCTGCTGATTGCTGGGCTGGAGATTGAGTGCTGCCTGAGGCTGTGTGTGGAGGCTCTGGAATTAGATTTTCAGGCTTCCATCCTGCTTTGAACACGGTTTACTGCGCTGTTCCCATCACTTACCCTTTTTGAGCCTTATTTCTCCCATTTGTAAAATGGGTTTCATAATCTCTTCCTTAGTGCTGCTGTGATGATTAAATGAGAGCATGCGTGTGAAGTCCCTAACCCACGCTAAGTGCTCGATAAACGTCAGATAACGATTACTGACACTATTACTACAAGAGAAACAGCAGGAAGCTCAACATAAAGCCGTAGAAACAAACAGCGCACGCTTGGATAAGCTTAAAAGAACCCACTGTGTTTCTTTACTTGCAAGTGGTCTAAGAATCCTCATGGCTTAGGATTTTGGAGGATTAAATGAGAGAATATATACTGAAAATTTCTACCCCATCACTTGGCACAGGGTCAGCCTTCAGTGAGTGGCAGTTCTTATTATAGAAACAGGACAGAACTGTTTCCCAGAGGCTGGGCTCTGGCCAGAGGTCAGACACTCCTCCAGGCAGGGCAGGGGTCTGGAAAGCCCCAGAGGGGGTTGGGAGGAAGAAGTCTGGGAATGCAGGTGTATCAGGGTCACCTGGCCGCAGGCTCATGGCTCATGTTCAGGCAAGAAGTGAAAAATAAGGACTCAGCTGCAGAGACTAAACTTAGGGGACGGGAAAAAGGAGAAAAAGGGAGTTGGAGAGGACACGAGACACCACAGCAGGCTCAGGTGTAGGTGGTCCAGGAATGCACAAGATTTGAGGTGAAGGCTGAACGGACACAGCTCACCAGCCATGCCCCGTGCTTCCTGTGATCTGGGAGCTGAGCCGCACCTGGAGCTCCCTGCCGGTGCCTGGAGCAGCTGGGATGCTGGGCCGGTCCAGGCCGAGCCAGGGGCTCATCTGGGGGCAATGCAGCACAGTCACTGGCAAATGTGAACAAATGGGGCGGTGAAGGGTGATAGGGAAGACCCGAGGGAGCTGGAGACCACCTCCCTTTAGAACACAAGGCACTTGTTTTTACTGGAGGTCATGGATCAGGTGTCAGTCTTGGTGGGAGGCAGTGGTCTTCGGAAAACCATCCCCGGGCAAGGAGTCTGGGTGGGTAGCAAGTAGCTGGGACTCCACAAGTCCTACCTTTCCTCCATGGGATGCTTTCTGGAAAGAAATACTGATCTCATCCTGTCAGTGAGCTCAGCACGAAAAGCTCCAAGAGGAAGATGCCTCAGGTGGCTTCTCTGTAGTGACCTGACTCTTGTTCCTGGGGTTCGGGAGAAAACAACCATAGCCTAAGGGTCTTCTAGGGTCACCCGGGCATGGGGGCTGAGTTGCCCTTGAGATGGTAACCATTTGCTAAGACCTCCGAACTGCTTGTAGACTTGTCTGATGGTGATCAATGCTTCTAGAAAGATTTTCATAGTTTGGTGAGCTGGTTCTCAAGCACTGGTGTGCATAAGTGTAATCTGGACTTCTCTTAGAAATCCAGATTCCTGGCTTGCAGCTGTAATGGTGCTGATAAGTCAGGCCGAGGCAGCCCCAGGAATCCGTGTTTAATAAGCTCCCAGGTAATGAGGATGCAGGCGAGCCGTGACCCACACTGAGAGGACTGTGGGTGTTGAGGGATGAGTCCTGGGATGGGGCTCGGGAGAAGGCAGTTCTAGCCTCGGATCCTCCCCTAGGTGCTGTGCAACCTTGTGTGAGTTACTTCCCACCCTGTTTCTTCTATAAAAGAAGGGAGTTGGACTAGGTCAGCAAGTCTCAACCAAGCTGTATAACAGAGTCACAGTTGATGAGCTTTGACAAAATGCTGGTGCCTGAGCCACCCCCACCAGAGTGTTCCAGACCAGCACACCATGTCAGTGTTGGTGTCACGTTGCCTGGGTACGTATGTATAAAAAGCTTTTGGGTGGCTGGTCACTGCTGGAGCTGAGAGCTGCTGTCTAGAGGGTGCCCAGGGCTCCTTATCTAGAATTCCTAATCTGCACAGTGCTGCATTTCCCGTGCCTCACCTCCCATTGTTCTGTCATGGGCACAGAGTTTTCTACATAAAACAACACTCCAGATGATTATAGTATTCCATTTAGCACCAACCTTTTAAAATTTAGTTGCCCTTCTTTGATTTTTCTTCTTAAAACATCAAAATATTTCTGATGACTTAAAGTTAGCACTGTGGTCATTCATTTGTGCTTTTATTCAATAAATGTGTATTTGTTATTCAATCTGTGTTAGGTGCTTATGAAAAAACTGTTATAGTGCAGTAGAAAGATGGCTGGACCATGGGCCAGTAATAAGAGTAACGATAACTTACATTTGAGCATTCACTTACTCTATGGTGGGCACTGTTCCAAGAATTCTAGCTTTATTATCTTACTTAATCCTCACAATGATCCTCTGAGGCTGGTACAATTGTATTACATGTGGGGAAACTAAGGCACAGAGAGGTTCTGTGCTTTCTCCAGGTTGCACAGCTGATCAAAGTCCTGGACCTCGTGCGATCTGGGGCAATGTCGTTCCCTCCCAGAGCCTCGGTCCATGCCTCTGCTGAGTGGCTCTGATGCCCCTTCAAGCTCTCACACCTTGGGGGCCATGCTTGCCCTCCAGGTCGCTCAGGAGGTCCCTCACCTGCATCAAGGAGAGCCTGCGAATCTTCATCGACCTTGGGGAACAAGACAAGGCTGCCGAGGCCTGGCTCGCGGCTGGGCGACTCCACTACCTCATGCAGGAGGACGAGCCGGTGGAGCTGTACCTGCAGGTAGGCCTCCCACAGTGCCTTGGGCCTCCCGGGAGGCCACTGTACCCACCAAAGTGACCAGCTGCAACAAGGGAGAGGGGGTGTCTATGCCAGGGCACTGGAGGGAGGGCTGATACCGGGACGCTCCGGACACAAGATGGAGACTGGTGGCTTGGAAGGCTGAGTGCAGGTGGCAAACGGTCAGTCCCTGAGTCCCATATACAACTGTGAGTTTCAAGGAATGTGGTGAAGACCCCCTCACCTGTCATGTCACGTATTTCTGCCTTTCCAAAGCTCGACACACACCTTGACTTCAGTGTTGTGCTGCAATTTGAGGTAAGATGGATGTGTGCAGGGTGTTTACATTATTGTTCTCTTATGATTTTTTTCATTTACATACCTTTAATTCTGAGATACAGGGTAGTGTACATTAAAGGCCTCAGTTTTGGAGTGAGACAGGCCTGGAGTCAAATTACAGGGCCATTAATTATGGGCTGTGTGATCCTGGGCTCTCTACGAGTTTCTCCTGGGGAACTCTATCTCTTAGGGTAAGGATTAGATACATCACTTGCATAGTAAATGCACATGCAAAGTAAGCCTTTACTAAGTGCTGGGGACTCAGTACATGCTTAATAAATAACATCTCCTTGGGGATGGCCGTCGTCATTACTATTATCTGCACAGAGCTGACACTCTGGTGCTAATGAGAAGCTTTGTTCCATCAAATATATGCTTGCTATCTTTTCTTCCTTCCCACTTCTTATCTTCTCCCTTTTTACTTCTCCTAACTCTATTATTATTATTATTATCCTCATTACATGCAGCAAGAGTTTCTACTGAAATTCCCATTTTACAGATGTGGCTCAGTGAGGCTTGCCCAAGGCTGTACAGCTAATATGTGGTGAAAGTTTGACTTACAGCCTGACTCTCAGCCTCTGCACTGTTCTGCCCTGGGGTTTTAGGGTTTTCAGAGAGCAGACATTTTGGTCTTGCCTTTCTTTCTCCAGGAACAGAGGCCCAGAGGGGCCTTTTTGGGTTGTTCCTTGATTGGCAGCAGAGCCTCCCAACTACAGGACCCCATCTCGCCACCTCTCTCTTTGTAGGTGTTTTTGCAATAGCAGTAACTGTGGGGGCTCCAGCAACTCGCTGGCCAGACCTGGTCCCAGGCCCATCCATCCATAGACTGCCACCTAACTCGATGTTCCGCCTGGTCATTCTCTCCCTAAGGCTATTTGAGGTCCTGTAGCTGGACTGCAGGTACTACGCTGCATTTTCTACCTTTGACCTCTGCACATTTTGTTTAGATGCACTGTGCAGTGACTTGCAGAGATGAAGAGGCCATGGGGGCTTGGGAGGGTATTGGGCTGGAAAACTCTAGCATTTGCTTATCAGAGGCGAGCACATTGATGTGAACTTGGAGAAGTTCCTTACACTTTCTGAGCCTCAGTTTCAACATCTGGGAAGTGTAGGTGCTGGATGAGATCAGTTTTCCAAACGTCAGTTATTTATACAGCAAATGCATGCTTTTGCCATGTCCATGTACCTTCTGAACCATGATTGACTTATTTTTCTTTGACTCAACTTCAAGTCAGTTTAACTTTTTATACTAGGTAATGCTATCTGAAATCACAGGTTTTGAGGTATTTTTAATCTTTTTTTCCTAAACACACTAACATAAATTCATAACTATTAAAATATAAAGTGGTTTTCTAAGTATACAGCTAAAAATCATTTCTAAGGCCACCAAAGTAATCTTTCATATTACAGTGGGGAAATACCAGACTAGAGAATCTCAAAGGTTTCTTCCCAGACATGTGAACGTGGAAGGTGGTTTAGAGTTCAAGGGACATCAGCAGAGTTAAACTCGGTGGTCGGGGTCTCAGTCTTGCCAGTCCTGGGCATTTGGAAGCCCTTCTCTTCACCCTGACGGCCATCTCTGTCCCGCCCAGGCAGCCATCCAGAAAGCCCTGAAGTTAGAAGAGCCCAGCCTGGCTCTCAAACTCTATGAAGAAGCAGGTGACGTGTTCTTCAACGGGACCCGCCACAGGCATCGCGCAGTGGAGTATTACCGAGTGAGTCCTGGCCTGGGTGGCGTGCCCACCCAGGTCCTGGCACAAATGTGGGCAGGGCCACACGGCCAGGGCCCCTTTCATTCTCTCGCTGGTGTTTCTTTTTCTTCCTTTCCTCATCCAGTGCCCACATGCTCTCCGTCTCTTCAGTCTTTTGGGCTGTCAAAGATAAACTGTCATTCTCAGGCTTGATAAATTATCCTTCCTGGGAGAATGCACCATAATAATTATACCTCTTGAGTGCATGGTACTTTACTTTACAGTTTGTAGCATACTTCCATGTCTGCCAGAATGTTCCTATGGGCCACTAGCAGCAGGCTGGAAGGTGGCTGGCCCGTGAATGAGCGCTTGTTTTACGCTGGTTTTATTAAGTATACATAAACATCTATTTTAAAAAATTTAAAATGTGTAATACCAGCTCATCAAATCCATGCTTTCACAGATATTATGGCAAAAGATGAGGCAAGATAATAAAAGACAGTTAACTTAAGAAATAATACCAATTAAATAATTGTCCAGGTGTTAATTTGGCATGTCAAAATCATAGTTGTTGTTCATCACTGACTGAAGTTGGGGAAATCTTACTATCTTTTTTGACCCTAAAATTTCACTTATTCAAATGTTCATTCATTTGCTTGTTTGGTTGTTCGTTAAATCATCAACCATTTATCAAGGAACCTGATATGCGCCAGCACCAAGGTAGGGGCAGAGAGAACAGGAGGCCCGGCACTGACTATTAAGGCATCGCCATGTGCACTTTACAGAAGGGGAAACACAAGGCTCAGGGAGGTGAAGTGACTTGCCTACAATTCAGTCATAAAGAGTAATAGAAATGACCATTTATTGGGCAATCTCAGACATTACGCACGTACTCCGTGGATGTGCTTTGTAGATAGCTCTGTGCGCGCTAAGGGAGCACATGGCGGGTGGTGAATGACTCGCCCTGTGCCCTTGGGAAAAGTCATGCTTCCTTTCCCGCTCTCAGTCGTAGGAGGCCTGGTGACCTTTGGTTCTTCCACTCCTAAGATCTGGGCAGAGAAGGCAAGAGCGAGGGCCAGGAGAGTGGACCGAGGGAAGCCATGCATGGGAACACAGCCGTCCCGCTGACCCCTGCCCGGGGCTGTCAGGCTCCCGGAGTGTGGTCTGCACCGATGACTCCTAGCTAGGCTGAGCATGCCGGTGCCTCTCTTCCCAGGGTGGGGCTGTTCCTTTGGCAAGGAGGGTGAAGGCTGTGAGAACCGAGCTCCGGGTTTTCAACAAGCTGACGGAGCTGCAAATCAGCCTGGGAGGCTATGAGAAGGCTTTGGAATCTGCCATCCTGGCGGCCAGACTCAGCACAGTCACAGGTAGGTGGTCCCAGCGGCCTGGCCTGTTGATGGGAGGGATAAACTCCTCCAAGCAGGGACAACAAAGCAGTAGCCACACAGGTTCCGGGATCGTACTGAGCGGGTTACAATCCCGGGTCCAACTGCCAGGGTGATCTCACTTAAGTAAGCTGCTTCACATCTGTAAGCCTCAGGATTGCCCCTGGCAAATGAGGATTACAGATAGCACCCACCTCGTGCAGTTGTTCGGAAGACCAAAATGATCGCCCATGCACAACTAGCACAGCGCTTGGCACACGTCAGTTCTTGATAAGGGTCACCTGTGCCACACTAACAATTACAGAACAGTTGACATTATTCCCGAGTATAGGGTAACTGTTATTTTATCCTATGCACAGACAATGCCCCTGTTACCAAAGGACTATGCCCTAAATTTTTAATTGGCTGAGTATTAGTCAAAAGTTTTCCCCATGGAAATGAAATGTAAATGAAGGTCAGAAGCCCACAAACTTAACTCACTATGTAGCTGAAATAGCTTACATTTACCACAAAATCTAGAGGGAAACAATGTAAGTCATTAGAATAAAAGGCAGAATAAAAAAAGATTAAAAAATAGTCAATCATGGATGTTGGTGGTTGAAGAAAAGCAGGCTTGATTAGAGAAGGCTTGATCAGATGCAGGGAAAATGGAGTCTTCTGCAGTGATTCAGGAAGGGACTTCTGGGCATTCTCAAGGGTGTGAGAGGTGGATGGCACTGGACTTTATTGTATCTAATTGCCTTTCAGAGCTCTCTCTCTCCCCTCTTCCTACCTTTCTCTTTACTGCAGAAAACCTTATCTGAGCTCCTGTCTGCTGTCTCAGGAAGGGCCCTGGGAGCCCCAGGCAGCTCCCTCTCAGAACTCTCTCGCCTCCCCTGGACGGAAGCTGAAAGGAGGCGAAATCTGCCGTCTCAGGCATTTCCCTGTGACTGGATTGTTCTATATCAGAGAGCTTTTTCCCTTGGATTTTCTTTTCAATTTTGACTTTTGGCCCTTTGAAGCTTAAAAATGATGCTTTTAGATAGCATCAAACAGCCACCTTACAAATATTCCAGAAACACAATTAGAAGCCTTTGTTCCCTTCAAAAGGCCACTTTGTATTAAAGGAGTTGGCTATAAAAACAGCAAGCTAAGGAAAAATGAAAACAACAAACCGCAGAACATTAGACACCAAGTTTCCAAAGCTAAGCATGGGTTCAAGGTGACTGGGTCTCTGGTTATCTGAGACTGCGAGCGGGTAAGGAAGGCGGAGGGTGAGGGCTGCTGCTGGCAGCCCCGAGAACTCTCTGGGGAGAGAACCTTTGATGTGGAGGGGACGTTTGTTGCGCATAGTTACTCATAAAAAATTCTGCGCTACTCCATCAAGCTAGTCTTACCACCCTGGGATTTGGAAATGGTTATTTCCCAGAACCTTGAGTTACAGTGACATCTGTAATGAAAAGCTCTCGCCAGCAGTCATCCCAGAAAACCTTGGCCAGCACACCTCCTCGAAGCAGGCTCTCTCGAGGAGCCTGTTTTCTTTTGGAGCACTTACCATAGGCGTAATTTTACATTTGTGGGATTGTTTAGAGAGTGTCCAGGCCCTTTGGGACAGCAAAGCCTCACGAGGGCAGGGACCTCTTCTGCTCTGCTCCCTGTGTCCCAAGCACAGGGTCTGACACCTAGGAGACCTCCATTTGCAGAGAATGAATGAGTGACAGGGTGCTGTGAATGGCTGGCCTCAGGATCTCCCTCTCGGTCTTCCTATCCTTAGGAGATCAGAGGCAGGAGCGGGTGGCCTTCCACCGTCTGGCCACGGTGTACTACTCCCTGCATATGTACGAGATGGCTGAGGACTGCTATCTGAAGACCCTGTCCCTCTGTCCGCCCTGGCTGCAGAGTCCCCAGGAGGCCCTGTACTACGCGAAGGTGTACCACCGCCTGGGCCGGCTCACTTTCTACCAGCTGAAGGTGAGTCTTGACCGTTGCAGGGAGTCTCCTGGCACAGGGTGGGGAGTGGCTCTGCTGGGAACACAATCTCTTTCTGCTCGGCCACATGAGAGACCTCAGAGAGGCTTCCATCTCTGCTGCAGAGACAGAGCATGGCTCCTCTTTTTCTCGCCCTTCTACGATTTCTGCAGCCACTTTATCTGCCAGGTACTTCTGGCATATTTCCTGGTGCCTGTGAGCTTCTCAAGGGCCTGTGAAAATACACGAGACCCAAAACAAAAGAACTGTAAGCTCCAAAATTAAAATAAAAATGAATGCTTAACTGTAATCTACAAAATGTTATAGATTAACTAGTCAGTTGCAAGTCACTTCTTACACAGTTACATAAAACTCCATTTTAGGAGAAATCTGGATGCATGTTCATATGTTGCAGATGATGAGGTGTGGAGTGTTGGAACGTAAGCCTGCCTAGGACCCAGGAAGGCCTCAGCCCTGATTCTCCGGTTTGCTCTGCTGGAGTTGAAGCCAGAACTTTTTGTTTTTCCAGCCACTTGTAGGGCTGTTGGTGGTCTGAGCTTTTGTTACGATCCTGGCCCTTTCAGTCCGTCCCTGGGCATCGGCCCCAGGTCCCTGCTCCAGCATGATCCTTAATCTCTTAATGCTCGTCTCAGTCATGCCTGTTTGGCCTCCAGGGGTTCCTTGGGGCGGCTCTGCTGTCTTTTTCTTACTTGCCAGACATTGTTTCTGGCCTGAATTAATTATTGGCTTATGAGGGTTAATGGGAACCAGACATTCCTTTTGGAGTCTCACCCAAAGAAGCATCTGTTCTTTAACCCTGCAGTGTGGGGGGATGCAGTGGGGATGGCAGGGTAGTGGAGTGCTTCCCGGCCATCTTCCTCTGTCCCATGGCTCCCTGGACGTGGGTGAGGGCCAAAGTGGACATGATCTGATTGAATCAACCAAGGGCTCTAGAGATTGCAAGGGAATAGCTCAGCTCAAAGTAGCTTAAGCGAAAAAGGCAATTTATTGGGTCAAGTAACTGGGAAGTTCAGGTATAAATTTAGTTTCAGGGAGTTCTGGAGGTTGGTACTCAACTGTTACCATGGATTTCCCCACCTCTCTTTGTATTTCTCGGCTCTGTTTGTTTCCACTTGTCTCTGTTTCTTGGTCTCCTTCCCCCCCAGCGACTGGGGGCTCAAGCCCATACCTAGAAGGGTGAGGGACCAGAATCCTTGCTAGGTTGCCCTGAAAGGTCCCCGGGAATGACTGTCATAGGCCAGCCTGCGTGTTGACACATCCTCGAAGCACTGCCTGTGCCTGGGAGGAGGGCCCTGTGGTCAGCAGCTTCCTGGACTGGAGTGGGAACCAGAGTCCCTTCAATGCCAGGGAACTGGGAGAAGGGGTGGCACAGCATGCTGGGTAGACATAAGCTGGAGGTCCCAGACTTCCCGGTGCTGCCTCCAGTCTCTCCTGGAAGCTCGCTAATTCTGTCTCTTCTTTGCCCCCACGCCATGGGGTTAGGATGCCCACGATGCCACCAAGTACTTGTGGCTGGCCCTGGCAGCAGCGGCTTTGCTGGGGGACGAGGAGCTGCAGGGCACCATCAGGAGCAGGCTGGACAGCATCTGCCGGAGTCCCCTGTGGTGCAGCAGCCCACCTGGCTGCTCCTCAGAGAGGGCGCGATGGCTGAGTGGTGGGGGCCTGGCCCTCTGAGGACCGCGGGCCATATCAGACTGGCTGCCATGACAGAAGCTGCCGCCCTGCCCCAGGCTCCTAGACACTGATGTGGAGGGTCCGAGCCTGGTCCGTCTCCCCACCTTCCACTGGGAAGAACATGGCCCAGAGGCAGAGGCACGTATTCTGGGGAAGCCACACAAAAAGTGGTGACAGAGCAGCGCTGAGAAGTCCTGCCTGTGTGTCTAGAGCCTCTCCAGTAGACTGCAGCCCTCCTCTATATACAGCCTCTGGAATGCGCTTCCTTGACATGCAATTCTCTATGAGAACATGAGGAACCCGGCCCCTGGGAAACCCACCTCCTAACCCCAGTGAGAAATCAGACACTGCACTGGAAAGAAGTGGGCAGATTGGACTTTTTCCCTCACTGACTTTTCTCAGGGAAAGACCCCTCCCCTTGCCAGCAGAGAAACTTCTCTCTCTTCTGCCAAAGGAGGTGCCACACCTGCCTATAAGGACAGGCAGGCAGAATTCACCATGTTCTTAGTTCAAAAGACACAGCTCAGCAAGACCAGCTGGAACGTGCAGGGCATGGGGTCTGACCAGATTCGCCGTCTCCCTCCTCCCCTGAGGCTCTGCTTCCCCTAACCTCCCAGAAACCCCAGGGAAGCTTCCCAAGGGCCAAGGCTTAAAAACTGAGCAGTAAGAAATTATGATGTAAATTACATGTAAAGAGTGTATATTATTAAACATTGACACACATTTGTCTCCTTGATAATAGGGAGAGATGAGACTTGAAGGGCGGGCTAAACACCAAGGTGTCATCCTGATCTCAGGGCAGCACCTCAACGAAGCATCTCTATTCGCTGTCTTTCCCTGCAAAATATGTGTAATGGCTTGGCTGGCTCACTTGTTATCTCACAGTTTCTGTAGGAGGGTGGGAATCCAGGAGTGACTTAGCTGGGTTCTCTGGCTCCTCAAGGCTGTGGCTGCAGTCTTCTCAAGATCAGCAACCGAAGCGTCTACGTCCAAAGTCACATCGTTGTTGGCAGGATCCATTTCCTTGCTTGCTGCTGGCCAGAGGCTGCTCTCAGTCCCTGCCCTGTGGGCCTCTCCAGAGGGCAGCCTCCAACACCGCAACCTGCTGCATCGGAGCCGGCAGTGAGAAGCACAGAGCAAGGGGAGGGGGTTGTGATCTTCCATTACTGACTCTCAGGAGGGACATCCGATCAGTTCTGCCTGTTCTCTTTGTCACAAGTGAGTCATGAGGTCCGATCCACATGGAAGCGGAGGAAACTACCAAGGGGGTGAATACCAGGGAGTCACTGGGGTCCATTTCTGCAGCTGCCTACCACAGTATCTGAGTGCTTTGATGATGGAATCGGGAGTTCTCTAGGGATGGGAACTCCAAGAAAGGTCCGACTGACTGAGCCAGCAGCATCGGTGTCGCTTGTAAGATTGTCTGAAATGCACATTTGGGAACCGCACCTAAGGTATCTGGACCCGAACCTCTGGAGTCCAGAGCCCTGGCTTTACCTGCTCCCCAGGTAATGTTAATGCAAACAGAAGTGCAAGGAGCGTGGCTCTGGAACCCAGATTCTCAGGCTGTGTGCAAACCTGGGGAGCTGGCTGAAAATGAACGTTCTGGTTCTTACCCCAAACATTCTGATTCCGTAGGTCTGGGGGATGTCCCAGGAACATGCATTTTTAATGAGCACCTCAAGTGATCCTGACACTGGTGATTCACCCCTGCTCTGAAATGTGGCAACATACAAGAGATTCTAGCCAGATGGGTCACCACCTGAGGCCCAGCAGCTTGGATTTTACTGTCAAACTCTCTGCCCTGAATTTCTAGCTTCTTGGACCAACCAGACTGTTGGGGGGGGGGTGGGGTGGGATGAAAATGTTGAGTGAACACTGCATCTTCCAGTCACCAAGATATACACATCAGTGTATCTTATTTTCTCCTAAGAGCTTGGTAGTTATCAAAAAGCTTTCTATTCTAGAGTATTCTCCAGGAAGGAAGTGAAGTGACTAATCTACTACCATGGAAAATAGATGTGGTTTTTGCTTCCATCATAAACCGTAACATCTCTGAGCAGGGAGGGCTGCTGTGGATGAGTCGAACCTCGCATGCAGAGTCCTTTCAACAACATTCCTGTGAGGCAGGGAGGGCACATGCGTTCCAGAATCGTTACACATGTTATATTTGAAGGCTTGCTCGGCCCTGAGCCCGTGCCACAAATCGCTCTCCATTTGTCTCCTCGTTTGAACCATTCCCTCCCCTTCTCCGCACTGACCTCTTGCTCTCCTCTGGACAGACGCCAGTGTCTGTCCGTCGGAAAGTGTGCTTTCCATAACTGCACTAGGCTTTGGTGTTGGCTGGTGGGCAGAGAGCGCAGAGGGACGCAACTGTACTTGACATAATCTCATGTTGCATATGGTTTTTCTTCTTCCCAGCAAGCACATCTTACCTGTGACCCAGATTGAGTTTCTGATCAACTAAAACTTCTCATGCAAGCTTCTATGTGGCCAAATCTTCCTAAATCACTACATTTATGTATATTTAAGTGAAGGGCATTATATTTACTTATTTTACATTCCATTGGGAATTTTGGTTTACAATTTCTGATTCTGTACCTTTGGTTCACCTGTATATCTGGTAAATTTGTCTCTAACCAGATCAGTTATAAAAATGTTCAACACATTTCCAAAGACAAGGGTAGGATTATTTTTTAAATGAGAAAAACATTATGCTGTTATCATTGAAATCACTACATCCTATAAGCAAATTGATCTGCTAAAATAGTCTTTAAAAGTGTTTAAAAATCTCATTTAAAAAATGGGGTTAACTATTCCCCTTGGTATTGTGCCAAAGCTGTTTTTTCATGATCCGCAGAGACTGAATCCGTGATTATCTGGACCCGAACCTCTGGAGTCCAGAGCCCTGGCTTTACCTGCTCCCCAGGTAATGTTAATGCAAACAGAAGTGCAAGGAGCGTGGCTCTGGAACCCAGATTCTCAGGCTGTGTGCAAACCTGGGGAGCTGGCTGAAAATGAACGTTCTGGTTCTTACCCCAAACATTCTGATTCCGTAGGTCTGGGGGATGTCCCAGGAACATGCATTTTTAATGAGCACCTCAAGTGATCCTGACACTGGTGATTCACCCCTGCTCTGAAATGTGGCAACATACAAGAGATTCTAGCCAGATGGGTCACCACCTGAGGCCCAGCAGCTTGGATTTTACTGTCAAACTCTCTGCCCTGAATTTCTAGCTTCTTGGACCAACCAGACTGTTGGGGGTGGGGTGGGGTGGGATGAAAATGTTGAGTGAACACTGCATCTTCCAGTCACCAAGATATACACATCAGTGTATCTTATTTTCTCCTAAGAGCTTGGTAGTTATCAAAAAGCTTTCTATTCTAGAGTATTCTCCAGGAAGGAAGTGAAGTGACTAATCTACTACCATGGAAAATAGATGTGGTTTTTGCTTCCATCATAAACCGTAACATCTCTGAGCAGGGAGGGCTGCTGTGGATGAGTCGAACCTCGCATGCAGAGTCCTTTCAACAACATTCCTGTGAGGCAGGGAGGGCACATGCGTTCCAGAATCGTTACACATGTTATATTTGAAGGCTTGCTCGGCCCTGAGCCCGTGCCACAAATCGCTCTCCATTTGTCTCCTCGTTTGAACCATTCCCTCCCCTTCTCCGCACTGACCTCTTGCTCTCCTCTGGACAGACGCCAGTGTCTGTCCGTCGGAAAGTGTGCTTTCCATAACTGCACTAGGCTTTGGTGTTGGCTGGTGGGCAGAGAGCGCAGAGGGACGCAACTGTACTTGACATAATCTCATGTTGCATATGGTTTTTCTTCTTCCCAGCAAGCACATCTTACCTGTGACCCAGATTGAGTTTCTGATCAACTAAAACTTCTCATGCAAGCTTCTATGTGGCCAAATCTTCCTAAATCACTACATTTATGTATATTTAAGTGAAGGGCATTATATTTACTTATTTTACATTCCATTGGGAATTTTGGTTTACAATTTCTGATTCTGTACCTTTGGTTCACCTGTATATCTGGTAAATTTGTCTCTAACCAGATCAGTTATAAAAATGTTCAACACATTTCCAAAGACAAGGGTAGGATTATTTTTTAAATGAGAAAAACATTATGCTGTTATCATTGAAATCACTACATCCTATAAGCAAATTGATCTGCTAAAATAGTCTTTAAAAGTGTTTAAAAATCTCATTTAAAAAATGGGGTTAACTATTCCCCTTGGTATTGTGCCAAAGCTGTTTTTTCATGATCCGCAGAGACTGAATCCGTGACTGGATCTGGTCTCTGTTTAAGTAGGTGTTGCTATTCCTACACAGTAGCCAAAGATGGATTCGTTCTCTCTTTATCTTAATCCTCCCCTGAAATTTGCATGGCCTGTCTGGCTCCTGGTTCCTTGTACCCAATTGGAACAAAGAACAAGGAAGGAATTACAACATCATGGAAAACTCTGTTAAGTGTTCTCTGAGTTTTCAGGTACTTAATTTACTTCTCTGCCCAACAGTGTTAATGCTCTGAAATCCAATATTGCTTTTATCTTTTTCTTGTTTGCTTTTCTAATATTTTAGGATGCCTTTATATTGTAAATGGGCATGGCTTACGTGCATAGGTACCTGTGTGCCTGTTGACTTGTGTTTTGTAAGTAAAATGTAACTCTTTTGACAGAACTGTGTCTGAAGAAGGGAGTATACAGGAATGGAAAGTGTCAGAACTGGGGGAAAACACAGATCACTAGGGGGTGGCAAGACCAAATTTTGGTCTTGAATTTGACATTAAGTTGCAATGTGACCTTGGATAAGCCACTTAACTTCTATACACCTCAGATCTCTGGTCTCATATAAAAAGTATGATCACTTCTGGGTTCCTTCTCAGCAATGTTATTCCCATACTATATAAGCAGGAAGAGAGACTTGTATTTGGGAGATGAAACCAAATTATGGTCCAATTTTATTCCTTTCTTTTTACAGGTGAGTAAATGGAGAAACAAATATAATTTTCTCTCACACAGGTGGTTAGTGGCAAAGACGGCAGGATTCTGGATCTCGTGACCCACGGACTGGTTTGTGTAGAAGACAAACTTACTGTATTGCTTTCCATCAATAGAATTTCATTAATAAAAACAAATACAATGAAAACAAAACAAGGCACTAAATTCAAGTTAGATCCTACTGCCTATATGGCAAGTGCCCAGTTTAGGCTGGATCTGGCATTATTTGAAAGGAGAGAGATTCACAAACGGCAGGTGTCGAAGACAAACACGGTTCTGCCTGTGCGATCAGAGCAACGGAGGAAGTGACTTAAAGGGCTGATGCCTCACAATGCGAGTCATTGCCAGGCAGTCCCCTGTCTTGGCGTGCACTTCCCTCTTGGGGAAGTGGAGACTCAGGTGTGAAAGGGGTAAAAAGAACCTGACCCATGTTGGGCAGCCCTGTGACGGGAGCTGATTACAGAGTCACGGAACTCAGGGGAGGGGGCTTCACCCCGCTCGGGAGCAAGGGCACTGGGGAGGGTTTCCTGGAGGCTGAGTCCTGGGAGAGGGAGACCTACATGATTCTAACTGCTGGCTGGGGGTGCGGGGAGTCAACCGACAGGGCACGTGTCAAGGAGCCGTCCAGAGAGTGTAGGGGGCCTGGCATTTTCTGAGAATAGTAGTGAGTTCAGCAAAGTTGGAGCGGTCAGGGAGATGGAGAGGGGAGGCGAGAGAAGAGGCTGGAGAAGGAACTGCGCCCAGCCCCTGAGGGTTTGGTTGTCTTCACCCTGAAGGTGAGGGGGAACCACAAGGAACGGTGCTGGAAGCAGCTGGGAATGGATTATGGGGCAGCGGAAGGAGGGTGGGGGACCCGTCAGGACCTGGCTATTGCAACAACATGCTTCAGCCTTTATTTAGACTTCACCGGTTTCCCCACTGAAGTCGTTTTGTGATCCAGGACAGCACGCCACATCGCATTTAGCTGCCATGTTTTCCTAGTCATCTCTAATCTCTGATAGCTTCTCAGTCTCTCCTAGTTTTTCATGACCTTGACCACTTTGACCTCCTTCCCTTTTGTTAATTTCTCCCATTGAGCTGTGGGGGGGGGGG